TGTGTGTGTGTGTGTGTGTGTTTGTGTTTGTGACAGGAGCCAGGATAGTTTGGTCTGTATAGCAACAGGCTTTCATTCATTCATTCATTTTATTAATCCTGTAGATCATGATACAATGATATAGGACAAGTCTTTTAGCTAATATACATTATTAAATTACAACAATCTTAATACTAAGAAATTATATAAGATATACATCATTTTATACACTATATACTTCTCCTTATATCAGTAGCCAATATTCGAGAATTCATTGTTCAGATAATCCTCCGTTGAGTAATAGCACCTCTGAATAAGCATCTTCTTCAATTCCTTTGTGAACTGATTTTTGTTTTCTACTTCTTTTATGTTGTTAGGCAGTTTGTTGTAAAAGATACAGCCAGCTACTGAGGGATTACTATTATAAAGTTCTAAGTTGTGCCCATATATATGATAGTCTTTATTATTTCTTGTGTTATATGTATGTATTTGTTCATTCACTGTGCAGTTACACTTTTTTTTACATATAGGATTGTTTTTTGTATATACTTGTATAGTGAGTATACTGTTAGTATCTGTAGATTTCTAAAGCTATCCCTGCATGATTCCAGATGTTTTAGCCCTGCAATGTATCTTACTGCCGTTTTTTGGAGTACAAAAATTCTTCTAATGAGGATCTTAGCACTATGTCCCCATACTGTTATTTCATAAGATAGATGAGGATAGATCAAACCATAATACAACATTCTTCTTTCCTTTAAATAGAGTATTTTAGATAGCCTGTTAATTATGAACAGGTTACGGCTAATTCTACTGCAGGTTTTTTCAGTATGTAATTCCCAGCTCAAGGTACTACCTCCAGGAAATTTGTGCTTTTTACATTTGATATTTCCCTGTTCTTAGAATTTTTAGATTATTTTCCTGCCTGCATTGTTTTGTCCGGAAGAGAATATAGTGAGTTTTAGATGGATTTATAAATAAATTATTTGTCTCAAAGTATTGCTCTACCACTCCTATATTATTTGAAGTCATGTTTTGGACCTCATTCATATCTTGTCCTCCATTCAGTATTGATGTGTCATCAGCATACATTACTGATCTGCCTTGTGTTAGATGTGGGATATACAAGATGAAGAGTAATGGGCCAAGGACCGGTCCCTGGGGGACTCCGTATCTCACTGGGAGGCTACTTGGCAAATATTCTTTCTTGCGATTGCCTTCTGTGTGTGTTACTTTTATGTATTGAGTTCTATTTCTGAGATAGGATTTGATTAGCTTATGAGGTATACCATGAACTCCATATTTGTAAAATTTATCCATGAGAATATTATGTCGAATACAGTCAAAGGCTTTTGATAAGTCTAATAGTACACAGTTGCATTTCTTTTTATCATTCAAACTTTCTGTTATGTTTTCAGTAATTGTGGCAATTGCATCGTTAGTAGATTTATTCTTCCTAAATCCAAACTGAGATTTGGCTGAACAGCCAGGGTTCAGTTCCCAGCAAGAGAAAGGGATTTTTCTGTACTCCACAGTGTGCAGACTTGACTCTAGGGCCCACCCAGCCTCCTATCCAATGGGTGCCAGGGCCCTTTTCTCTGGGGTGAAGTGTCTGGGGAATGAAGCTGATCACACATCTTCATTTAATGTTGAGGTCATGAACGGTGGAGCTGTATATGTCTCTCAGTGTGATGCCTCATTCTGTTGGTATACGAGGTAACAGTAGGGCAGAGGAATATTTTGCAGTCACCACTCTGACTTTAGGTTGGTTTCTTGGAAAAGGATGAATTATCTGTTTTAGCTCTTGAATTCTTGCTTTGCTTATGTCATGAATATTTATTTGTACATTGCCGCTTAATTCTTAGGGGACCTCTGCGGAACAAGACAACCGGTTCAGTGACAAGGAGAAGAAGCTCTTGAAGCAGATGAAGTTTGGAGATAGTCTCAGCAGGAAGGTATGTGTATTTTGTGTCACGACATAAAGAAACATAAAAGAAGACCTTGACATATTTAGGTCTTTGTGCACCTAAGAACACTATATTTTGTGGTAGCAAATTTCATATTTGAATTCACCTGTTTGTCATAATATGGAATCTAACACACAGGTCCAGTAACAGAATAAAAGACCAATAAGGTGCATGATAGTTCCTCCTTTTTAAAGTAATCTTAGCATTGTCATCATTTGTTAGTGTTGTCACCATGGTTGGTTGTCTTATGGCAAACACATAAGTGGCCCTTCATTTCTGTGGCCACCCTTTTCCTCCATGTTTTTGTACATTGTCCTCGTGGTTCATTTGGTCTGCTTAATGGTCATTTGTTGAATATTGTCACGTCTTGGGTATGTCATGCGAGAAATAACTTCACGTGGGTCTCGGATATAGCGAATCTTTATTGGATACTCACACTTACATACCTTACAATTATTATCGCTTGAAATGTCGCTTGACTTCTAGCCCAGTACTCAAATGCAACGTCTCAAGTATCCTTGGCCGTGGTTGGATCTCAACTATCTCTGGCGGTGGCTATCCCAAGATTGTCTCCTCCTCAATACTTCAATACTCAGTACTCCATTCTTCTGTACGTGTCGTAAGCTCTGCTTATATAGGGCTTATGCGGACCAGGTACCGGACACCATTCCTCACGGTTCCGTGTCTACTGTCCGCTGTTACGTAATGGGCACAATGAACTGTCTGTAGTTCATTTCTGGGGAGACGCGTTCATTGCTTCTGCATTGTCTACACAACTGCTCCCTGTTCTATGTGTTACCATGGAAGTGCCTATTCCAAACTCATGTTCAGAAATCTGTTGCCTCAGGAACACTCCTTCGCAACGATCTGTTGCTATTCGATTTGTCGCTGTTGGAACTCAATTTCCATTGTAGCTGTTGCGCAGCGATGGATGTAAGGTAACACATCACAGTGTCTTCATTTTTTATATGCTCTCAGAACAGTCCTGGTGTTATCCATTTGTATCTCATCGTCGTACCAGTGTGCCCGTAATTTTACCAGCATATCAGGTTTTGTTTAATATTTTGCTTTTAGATTTTATACCAGCATGTTTGTTTGTTCCTTGGAAGAGCAAGTTTGCTCTTTTCATATGGCACAGACATTCTACATGGAAATTGTCAGTGGGCTGTGCCAAAGCATGGTTATTCTACTATTCACAATCACTGCATCATTTTCTGCCTACCATAATGAGTCAGGTAGTGAGAAGAGAAGTGGGTACTCTCTTGCAGTAAAGTTTATATTAGAGCATCAGTTGTTGCATGTATTTTAGATGAAGTGTGATTCATATGCAGTTATTGAAACTGACTGACTGAATAACTAGCTAACTAACTAGCTAACTTCATGGAGCTGAGCCCTTCTTGGGAATCCGCCAGTTGTGCAGCTTTTCAAGAACTCAGCATTTTATGGAACCTGAAGGTTCATTACCATGTTCATAAGATCCCTCCACTGGTCCCTATCCTAAGCCAGATCAATCCAGTCCATCCCATCCCATTCTATCTCTTTAAGATCCATTTTAATATTGTCCACCCACCTACATCTTGGTCTTCCTAGTGATCTCTTTCCTTCTGGATTTTCCACCAATATCCTATATGCATTCCTCTCCACATTTGTGTTACATGCTCTGCCCACCTCATCCTTCTTGACTTGATCATTCTAATTGTACTTCGAGATGAGTAGAAGTTATGAAGCTCCTCATTGTGTAGTTTTCTCCAACTTCATGTTACTTCATCCCTCTTTGTTCCAAATATTCTCCTCAACACCCTGTTCTCAAACACCCTCAGTCTGTGTTTCTCCCTTAATGTTAGAGACCAAGTTTCATGCCCATACAGAACCACAGGTAAAATTATAGTCTTTTATATTCTGATTTTTATATTTTTGGACAACAGACAAGAAGACAAAAGGTTCTGGACTGAATGGTAGCAAGCATTACTTGAGTTCAGTCTCCACTTAATTTCCTCCTCGATCAGGTTTTGATTTCTTATTGTCGTTCCCAAATATCTGAACTGTGCTACATTTTCAAAACATCTGTGTCCTATTATTATGTCATGATTTTGCTGTGCATTTTGGTGATGAGACAGCAACACACACTAAGTTTTTTCTATGTTTACTTCTAGCCCAACCTCCTTACCAGCATCAATTAAAGTTTCTTTGTTTTTCCTTATGGTATCTTATGTTATCACCCAGTAGATTCACATCATCAGCATAGACCAGCAGTTGATTTGTCCCATTTCATTTCATTCCAATCTGGTTTTCCTGAATCTCCCTAATGGCATATTGTTGATCCAGATAATCTGTCCAGGACCTAGGACCCTTGTGGCACTTTGTAACAAGTTTATTTTTTACGGTGAGGAGTTGTTAGCCCGACGCCCAACCCCCAAACTGGAGGACCACCCTCCTTATCTGGAGGCCATCCATCCTCAACCTTAGAGGACGTGCCATGCTGTGGTTACAAGGGACCCACCTAGCATGACTTATTGCAACTAAGAATTTTAAACAACAGTTATGTTGTCTTTGCAGTCACATGATCCAGATCAGACATAATTTTTATACCATGTATCCTAAGTTAGGTTATGATGGTGTGTGTGATAATTGACATTTTTCATGGATAAAGCTTGGTTTTATTTGAATGGATGTATGAACATACGAAACAGACAGTGACATGCAGATAATGTACATTTTGTACATTTTGTACATGTAATTACATTCCATGATTTGAAAGTTTTCATTTGGTTCACCCAGGGTTTTAAGATGGTGAATTTAATGTTTTATGCTGAAACATTTAATTGCAATAGATATGTTAGGCAGATACTGTAGCAATTTTAAAGGCAATTGACAGGTGAAGGAAAAGTCTGTGGACATTTCAACAGGAATCTGCAACTCTTTGTTTCTCCAGGCATTCCATGCATACCTTCAAGAGCATGTTTTTGAAAGGGTTGTAAGTTTTGGTTTAAGATCACCTTGTTCTCCTGATATGCTACATGATTTCTTCATGCAAAGTCTGTTGAACCATTCCACACATGGAAGATGAGCATGGAGAAAATTTACAACTTGTAGTCTCTGTGGAGAATGTAATCAAGAGAATTCATTACATAAAATTGCTGCACTTTTCTCTACGTCCACAGCTGACTGATCAGGAAACATAGCAATTGACCCCCTTTGTGCTTGGCAGAAAGTCTGTATACAGCATGCTATTAAGGCAACATAGAACACTTGCAATACAGTTCTGTGCAGTACAAGACATAGTTACTACTGTTATTCTGGCACTTACAGTTGTAATAGCAGTCTATGTATTTTGATTTAAAATTAGATGTTTTATAAGTAACTTCAGTTTTTTATTAAATTATTTTATTAGGTGGACATGTCAAAAGTGAAACTCGATGTCATAAAGCCGTGGATTGCCCAGAAAATTACTGAAATCCTTGGAATGGAAGATGATGTCGTGGTTGAATTTGTCTACAATCAACTAGAAGCAGAGAAGGTACTGTTTGCATCACTTGTTTTACAGTACTGTAAACGGATGTGTTGTATTTTATTATTAACTTTTCATAATGAGTTGTTTGAATTTTATGATGTTGGTTTTGTTTCTTCTGTTGCTCACCTGGACTTCCCATTTTCATAATGTTCATAACTGCTTCTGGGGTTTAATATGAGGTCTGTACTAATTACTGAAAAGGTTGAATGTAAACTATGAGAACATTTTATGTTCATAAGATTGGATCTAATATATCATTCATATCTTAAATTTTTGTAATGTCTAGTTTTGAAAGAAATTCAAGAGGGTGACAGTAAATTTTATTACTTGGGAATTTGACTTTTAGTTTTTTGTAAGTGTTCTCTTTGAATATGTTTATAAATGGGTTATTCTTGAATGGAGGAAACGTTTTGAGTTTAAAAAGGTTAGAATATTCAGTTCTGTGGTAATTTTAATACCAGAACACTTGTTTATCTCCCCAAAATATGCAAATATGATATGTACAAATGACAGTGGAATCTTTAATATGAATGAAATGATGGAGAAACTGAAAGAAGGTGGGATTGGGTAGTATGTATAAATAAGAAAAACAAATTGTAGAACTGATTGTTACCGGTTTCTTCCGCCCAATCAGACAGTTACGTTGTAAACTTGTCACTTCACCTCACTCGGAGTGCGAATTCCGCTCGATTCGCTTGATCGGGCCGTGGCTCCTTCTCACTTGTAGCTGATTCATCTGTGATTCATCAATTCGCTGGCACGAGTTTGCCGGAATACTTCTTCAGCTGTAAAATCCAAGTTGCCTTCTTTAGTCAACCCCTCGTCATTGAATCACTATAACGAAAACAATATGGAAAGGTTGGTACTTCATGCAGTAAATGCCTACTTAAATTCTTTTATCTTAATTACTAAAGGAAATACATATACATATATGTGCTTTGTATGCACAGATTTTTTCCTTGTGTGTTGACCACGTTTTGTGTCGGATTTATTTCATCAAAGAAGTATGCAGAACTTTAATTTCATTGTTTTTGATGTTTTTAAGTCTTGGATTGATGTAGTTATACATAAATATAGCCTAAAGATTCTTAAACGCCCATTAAGACACATCCATCCCATCTCCTGCCCTGTGGAGAAACTTTCATATGCAAGATTAGTGCCGTCCTATGATCAGAATTTCATCTGTATAAGTTTTTACAAGTTAATGGAATTAGAACATTTTCATTTAGAGAGTTGGGTACGTGGATACAATTCAGTTCAGATATTGAAAGCAAAATGTCGATATTAGTGACTACTTAAAAGAATAACATACTTTTTCCTGTTGTAAATGAAGTGCAATATAATTGTTTGTTTGTTGAAATATTTTTGTAGTAGAAGATCCTATGTCAACAATGTTTTTTTATGAATCAAACGCCTTTTTTAAAGATTTCCAGTAAATATTTATTAGGATCTAATATTTGAATCAAATTTGATTTAATCCCAATATTTTTCAAAACTTTAAATAATATTTGATTCCTGCCAGATACAGAAATTATTTTAATTGCTGAGTGAGTGAGTATTAAGGAGGAACACTATTTCTGGACAGTTTGTTATTGTGGTTTCAATATCGAAATTCTGCTGGCAATATCAGGAAGATTTTCACATCAAATACTTTCTTAGTTAACTTGTATGATGGAAGTATTAAGGAAAGTGTTCTAATTTTATTATGTGTTGTATATTACAAATGAAATACTGTTGAGACTTGGAAACACCCTTGCAATGATTGAGGGTATGGATTGTGTTATATTGTATCAGTGAACTTATACTGTGGTTCAATTCAGTCTTCTAGCAGAAGAGGAGGAACTGCCTCGAAGGTGTTGCAAAGGCGGGACTATGACAGGTGGTATAAACACGCACGCACCACTGGTAGCTGGTATTTCTATTTACAGTCCACCATTATTACATTTATTAACACTTAAGACATATTTCACAGTCACATCACTAATTTGAGACCATGACGATGTTTTTGGTCTTCAGTAAAATTATTTTAATACAATGAACAAAACTGTTTATTGGACAGAACTATGTTAAAAATAATGCACCTGTCAGAACTCCTAATCCAGTGGTTGATAATAGTGTTACATCAAGTGACCATAGATACTAGTGTATGTCCATATCACATAACCATTTGATATGCATCTATTCAGGAGTGCAAAATCTATTAGTAGTATCCATATAATAGGTATTGCCACTTCTATGTTCTTCTCTTTTTTTTCCAGTGGCTGCCTAGATCATTAAAGTTTTTAAAAACTCAAATTGTTGCATTTTTGCACTTTGTGTATATATCATAATTGATCCCCCCCATGAAAGTTGGCAGATATTTAATGTCTCTTATTTCTATTGCAGTAAGGATGTTATCTTTGGTGTTTGACTGCAGAAGTCGTATTCAGAGGCGTTAATAAAATTTACAGTTCAAAACACAGCATGTCATGTGAGCTAAAATAGTCTCTTGTTTCAGAAATTCAGGTTACTGTTATTAACTGCAGAAACTTGCTTTCCATTACCATTACAAAATATGTTTGAACTTCTAATCTTGCCGTATCTTGTCTTGAGATTTGGAGGAATTTTGATAATTCAAGTACAAACTTGAACACATGTCACTTTCTTTGTGTTGATTGTTGATAATTGCAGTCAGCATAGAGTACTTCTAATACAGTCATGTGGGTGGCTCAGATTTAATTTGAAATGTTTGTTGCATCTTGTAAATAACATTTTGGAATCAGTATAATTTTTGTACAGTCATTTCATTGTCCTTCTCCCATATATTAGCCATACTTATGAGCATGCACATAGTTGTACAACAAAATGGTGTCTTTGGAAAGTATTAGGAATTTTCATCAGCCATGTGTAATCAGATTTTGGTGAAAGGAAGTTCAAAACAGGCTGGTGTTCACTGAGCTCTTAGATTTCAATTTGGAGGGTGATGTGCTGTCAGAAACATCGATGCATGAATGGAATATTGTTGCATTCACAGACAGCCATGACAGTCCTCTCTTCAGTGGTCATAAACATCCAGTCATGTGAACATGTGAAAGAAGTTGAGAAACTTATTCTATACAACTGTCACAATTCTGCACATGAAATCGTACAAGTGAACATTCGTGTTAGTAATGTATAGACTAATTCATAAGTAGCTTCACTTTCAAAAATTGAGTGGAAGTCGTGGTCCAAAAATGGCAGACAGGTCTTCTTGGGCGATAAACTGTGACACCATGGAGTGAATTTCTAAGGCTTCAGAGAGACTGTTTGCCTCCATTACCTAAACACAGAGGCAGAAACAGTCTCTGAAATCTTGGAAATTGACTCCATGTTGACATGGCTGACCACTCAAGAAGACTTCATTGCATTTGGTCACTGTGAAATCTTTAATTCTTTTGCTGTGAGGGTTGGATGCTCTTTCTTGTACTTTTACTAATGCAGCATTGATGATGATGTTTCATCTCCACAAGTCATTTCTGGGTTTTGAAATTTACACTGATTGAATCACAGATAAAACAATTTAGGTTCAGTTTCATATCCCCAGAATGATGATTTAGAAGCGTTATTTCCTTAGAGCTTGGACTTTGTTAGAAGTTCCTTTTGTAGGTGTTATGAATCTGATACTGTTAAATATCTAAAGAAATTCAAAGGAGTCATTGTTTTGGATATTCCATGGGTGCTGCTTATAACAGAAGCAGTTTGTATTATACTTAAAAGTTGTTGTCATGCCCTGATCTGCCAGGGTGTTGAATGTCATGTATATGTGTTTTATGCCCTTGGGACCTATGATAAAATACCATATTTTCTGAAATACCCTGTGCACATTTTTCAGAAAAAAGTTGTGCAAGAAAGTGGGGGTGCTTGGTTAATTTGCAAAAGTTACAGCACTACTCATTTGTCATATGTGTATCCTTGAGGTTAGTAGCCCACTCCCCTGTTATACATCATACTTGCATGCATCGCACGCTACCAGCAAGGGTGCAGTTCACCACCGTTTATTCATGAGTGAAAGCCAGTTTTGTTATATATAAGATCTTGATTGTAAAGAATGCATACAGAGGGTATGCAGTTATGATCTTTCACATTGAATGAAAGGCTAAAGATAATTAGGGAGGTTGAAGAAAATATAAACTGCATCATGTTCCGTAAATTTATTGTTAGTGTAAGCTGCATCAGAGACTTGAGAAGCAAGATTTATTGCTATAAAGAGAAGCAAAATAGCTTTTCATGGACAAAAAGCAGAGTTTTCAGAAATAGCTCCTCAGTTATCCTCATGAGGCTGAGTGGACTTTGTTCCAGACCCTCTACTTAGAAAATCTGGTAGCGCATGGAATCGAACCTGGACCTCTGGATCTGTACCCAGTAACTCTGACCACTAGACCACAGAGACAGTAACGGGCCCCATACAACTAAACAGAAATATGTCGTTAGGCTCTTGACACCAAAATTCATACATATTATTGTGAAGTGGAAATGCTGATCAGATGCTTGTTTATTTTGAGATGCCTCTTGACATAGCAATTGGTGAAAGGGGAGAATATGACAATAAGAACTGGTGGCATTGAAGAACAGAGATGGTGGACAGAATAAAATTTGCCACCACATATTGTACGTAAAAGGAAGACCCTTTCAAAAATAAATGTAAGGGGTATAGTAGTGTAGGTTCAAGAATCTGGGTGGATGAACCAGCAGCGGACTGGATTAAATGCGTCTTGCAGAGGTATCCTGGAGCACTGCTAAACCTTAACAGCATGCTGGTGTTTGATACTTTCTGGGTGCACACTAGATCAAGTAAAAGTGATTCTTAAATATAGTGAAACTGATCTAGCAATAATTTCTGATGGACTTACATCACTGCTGCTGCCATTAGGTGTCTGCATAGAGCAACCTTTTAAAGCCACCTTAAGAGAAATGTATGCTAGTTGGGTGGCTGATGGTGGACATGAGTGCACTCCCTCAAGGAAAATCAAACTGCTGTACATTGATTGACCTGTTGCACACATGCATAAAGGATGGAGGGGAATATATTTAACCTGGATTGGTAGAAAAGAGTTTCAAAAAGTGGCAGTATCTCATATAGCCTTGACGGGTCGGAAGACAGTTCAATTTGGTACAGGGATGACAACTTCGTGAGCTCTCCTGATGACGACAGTGATGAAAGCAATGGCGAATAAAATGCTATGGGTACATAGTCTTTTTTTTCTAATTAGCAGCTTTTTATATGATGAGAAAACTGTAGAATAAGGATGAAGTTCCACAGTGAATGCTAATACTGCATCATTTTCATGTTGCAGGACTCTGTCTTGGGAACTGCAAATATAGTGGCACCAGAATAACAGAATTGTTATTTTATCATTCAATATGTTTATTAATGTTTCATGTTTAATTAATATTTGATACTTGAACGTTTTTTAAATCCACCTCTGTCTTAAAAATTGGGGTGAGTGGCTTATTTGAGGGTGTAGAGTATTCAAGAAATTACGGTACTAAAGCTGTGTGCATTTACAGTTTCTTATTTAATTTTACTATGTTAGTTTTTAACTGTTCATGAATTATTGTCCTCAAACATCATTTGATTTAATGCCAAGAATTAGGTACAGAATTTTTATCACCATGTGCAATAAAGTCCTGATTATCTGGTATCCAAGCATCTGAACTTCTCATGCAGCTGGCAAAAATGTCAAAGAAAATGTACAGTTTTTATAAAGTTATTTTACAGAGTTGCAACATGCATATGTTCACTTGCCACATGGTAGTTCTCTCAGCTGCCATCAGAAGGTGCTGTTATAGTCATAATGATCTGTGATTATACTAGAGATTGGTTTAATTTATGGTGACTTTACAGTATATTCAGAATCTTTCGTCCTCCAGTTCACTGTGTCACTTAAGAAGACCCCTATGCTAGAAATAAGCTGAAAATGCATTGTTTTGACTTTGAAACAAAATGGAGATATGGAATAGACCAGAAAAGGGTAAAAATTTTCCCCATGCATGCCAGATAACAGGAGTTTAATGTAGTACAGTTTGGAGTTTAAAATTCATAGACTATTGAATCGCTGAAGAGTTAACTAATATGAACAGATCTTTGTACTGAAGAATATTTGTGAGTAATTTTGACGACTGATTTGTATGTTAGAGTATAGCAATGTGCTCTTGGCTGTCTGAAGATTTTAGGTTGAGGAAGCCATTTGGTTAGGGTAGGCCTGTACTTCACCAGTTTTAATGTTATTATATTTGGAAAATTTAGAAAACTTGGTATAACATTTTCAGATATTTGGCAAGTATTGGTTCATGCTGTTTCATACAGAATATCTTTAATCACCATAGCTCTCTGTTTTACTAATGCATCAGTTTCTGACATGGATATGCCCTGCAATTGATATTGTCCCCAAATTGTGTAAATGCTTAATTATCTGATTAAATTGTTGATAATATATATCCCCCTGTCTCAGTGTGAATCCTTCCATCCATCAACCCCTCAGAAGAAGATTAATTTTATTAGCCTCTTCTATACAAAATAAATGTGGAAATAGCCTCCCAAAAAATTACAGATGAAAATCTCTGTAACAGGTTAAATTTCTTTCTTTTTGAACAATTAAATATTTCATTGTCTCTTATTAACAGTTCACCATATTTAAAATATAGAGTGAAGTTCATCCTGGACTGATGTGTATATAATCAGATATGCAGAAAATAATGGTAATGGGATGGGGATTACATGTTTATAGCATACCTAAACGATTGAACGGAGAACTGAAATAGTGATCATGCAAGTTCATGAGTGTACATACATGTGAAAATAGTTTAAAGTGGAATATTTAGTGTATTAGTTATCTTATTGTGGCTTGTAGGTGCATTCAGAACAGTGACATGTCCTGGTCTTGAAGTTGTGGTATGCTGAAAAATGCCCTTTCTGTCCCACTGTGACACATGTGAATAAGCACAATGTTTGGAGCCTAGCTAAGCACCTGTCTACCCCCATCCCTATCCTGGTGCATATGAAGCTAAGAAATGGTGTAGCAAAATTTGAATCAGAATGTTGTAGCTTTTATGGACTGAATAAGAGAAAACATTTTTATATAGGGTATGTGGTGGTAATGAAGAGTTCTGTCTTTTCTAATACAACACTGCATAGTTTGTTGGAAATCAGCTGATGTTTTGGAGGAATATGTTGCCTCCATTCTCAGGGTCAAAGAATAAACCAGGCAAGAATCCGGCATGAAGATGGAGACAACATGTTCCTCAGAAACATCAGTTGATTTTCAGTAGGCCACGTGGCATTATATCCCAGAAGACAGAATTCTTCAAACCTTATTGTATTCCAGTTTTAATGCGATTAGCCAGACCTTTGCATTTTCCACTGATTCAGAATGTGAACATGTAAAACATGGATAAACCTGTTCTGTATGCTTGTGTCTGTTAATGCAGATATATAAAGAAATTACTGATCCTTTTTTAATATTTTGCAGCTTGTTTGAAGTGAACTTTGCTGTTCAGTCATAATGGTCATAGGTTAACAGATGCTGTAATATTACTAGCATTTTGTTGCAAGTTTTAAGCATCTTCCTAATTTTTTTGATGCAATGTTGCCTATTCTTGTGTCTACAGAAAGTTGTTAGGAATAAGTGGTGTGAAATTTTAGGGTCAGTGAATGAAGTAGTTTAATTGTGGGCTAATTATTTTGTCAAGTTTTATGGCGTGAAGGTAATTGTTGTGATTCTCTAAATGTTTGAGATGGTGCTTAATTCACTATATACTGATATTATGTTGGACAGTTGTCCATTGTTGAGGCAAGGATCACCAACTGTATGCCCATGTGCATTGGTGCCTTCAGAACGGTTCTTGCATGCCTACAAGAATTTTAAAATATTGATAATAATTGTCATTCGTTCACTGATTTCAAAGCAAATGGCAATTTCCATTCTGTGAACAAAATTTTTGTGCTGATAAATTAATTTTAACTGTGTTCATGTGTCACATTGAGGAGTGAGGTGTAAATATTAGTGACATTTCCTAGGTTTTTCTCTTCCTGGCCATCTGAATTAATGTGTTCCAAAACAGTGTTTCCAAAAGTGTCTTGGTATTATAACACAAGTGCAAAACTCTTTGTATGAATTCAAATATTATTCTCAGTATATTCATGTGGTGCCTGCTGTAAATTGTAAGCTTCTGCTAGTTGCCCCATTACTCAAGAAATGTTGACAGCCCTTGGTCTAAGGAATGTTTTATGTACACAAGGACTAGAGTATAACCAATCCCCACAACATGAGTATATATCAGATATTTCTCAGTCAATTGACAGTGTCCAGCTGACATGGGAGTTGTTAAAATGAAACCTGTTCAGAGATTTATCTGGGCAAAGGCATAAAGGCTGTTGAAAATAACCCCTGTGGTTATTGAGGCAGGCCTTTGTTTGAAACACCAGCCAGTGGATCCCCTCCACAAAAAACTCCCAGTGCCTTTTAGCACTTCTTGAGGAGGTTGGACATTTATGTTGGTTTCATTTGAACAGTCATATGAATCTCTTCTGTTTTCTTGCTTGACATACACAGGTCATCAGATTGTCAGTTAAGCTATTTGCTTTTGGTACTTCGTGTTTTACAGATCAAGAATCTTTTAAGGAAAGCAGCATAATGTGTATTAACTTTACTGTAACTTAAAGTAATTATCTTTCTGTTCAGTTCCATTTCATGGATGTGCAGATTACTACATGTAACTGCTCAAGGTTGTTTTAAATTATGTGTGTTGTAGTATGCACAGTATTGTTCCTCTTACTTCAAAGTTTTAATAGGAATGGATGTAGGTTTCTAAGTTGTTTTGTTGTTCCTCATTGCTACAGTTGCATGATTCTGTACAGACATCAGAATTTAAATATGCCACATTTGTGGGCCTACAGCTCTGGAAACAGTGTTCTAAACATATCCTGTTCTTCAAATTTTTGATACATCAAGCTATTTGCTTTATAGGTTAACCTTTTTGCTGCATATTTGATGTTTGAAACATCATTGCTGAGTGTACACTGTTGGTGAGAGGGTTAATGAAAAACTATTTTATAGCCATTACAAATAAGTCTGTTCTGAAAAGGTAGTGATATTCATTTGAAGTTTCTGATTATTCATTTTGTCTTTGTCATGTCATGTAATATTAGGGGATCATTCATTAATAATTAGTTGAAGAAAAAAGAAAAGAAAATGTTTTTTATCAGCTGTCATAACTTATTATAGCTGTGACAGTCTTGGTAACCCAGCAATAGGTGTAGATCTGTGTCTTAGCATGTACCAGGGGCAGGAATGCAGTATCAGTTGGTTTTACAACAGCAGAGACCAAAATAAACAGCATTGCTAGTTATGAAAGTGTCATGAAATGAATACTTAGTTCATGATACACATTAAGAAATAGTACAGAGCAGGAATGTCAGAGTAGCTATCTGTTTTTAGTTCAGTTGCCGTTCATGTGAAGGTTAAACGTTTTTTCTCTTCCCACCTGTGTGTTTACTAACAGTACCCAGATCCCAAGAAGATGCAGATTAACCTGACAGGGTTCCTGAATGGGAAGAACGCTCGCCTGTTCATGTCAGACTTGTGGGAGCTGCTGTTGTCAGCACAGGACTCGGTCAGTGGGATACCAGGGCAGTTCCTTGAACAGAAAAAGGAGGAGATCAAAAAGAGAATGGTAAGTTTATTAACAGCATGGAAGTATGCAGACTACATAACTATTGAACAAAATAAATATGCTAATTGGAAAGTCAAGACTGTGGAAATGGAGTGTTTCAAATTTTAATGCCTGTAATATTTGTGTCATCTTATTTCACACAAGATGTTCATATAAGTGGTAAGCCCACAACAGAGTCCTAATTAAAAAATATTAATATATTGTGGCATATAGACCCATTGCTAGGCAGAGACCTCAAAACAGACAATGAGTACAGCTGTTGCTGTGCAGTAGACGAATAAACAAATGGCCATTCTTGTACAGCAACTCGATAAATATGTTCCCACAAAACGAATATGCATGCAACAGTAGAACAACAGTGTTAATGCAACTCATTTCTGTGCAACATATCAGTAAACATGCCCCTACAACAATAGATTATTGTTGGAAAAGGTGTTTTCTATTCAGTCCTTGCAAATTGGTTATAAAGAAGACAATTGCAGCATTCCAGTTCAGTTGAGAGTTGAGTGTTGATAGTGCAGTTGAGCTCTACAAGGGAGACTGAGAAGAGATGGTGCTTTAGTTCAGGGGGAGTTCTGCACAGAAGGCTTTGAAGATAGGACCTGAGCGTGGGAAGATGAAGAACCTCCACTGTTAGAAGCTGTTGCTAGGGAACAGCTGTTGGAGACACTAACTTACTTATGGAGCTAAGCCCTTCTTGAGGAGAAGCCAAGTCTGCAGCTAATCAAGAAAATCCGCACATTTTATGAAACCCGAAGGTTCATTACCCTGTTCACAACAGCTCTCCACTTGTCCTTCTCCTGACCTTCCATCTTAGGAATCAAGTCGAAGTCTCAAGGGCTTAAGTCCGAGGAGTATGGTGGATGGTACAGCATTCCCAGCTCCATCGATCAAACAAATCAGCCACAGCTTGCACTGCATACGGCCGAGCATTGTCCTGCAAAATGATGGGTGGGTTCTGTATATGCTAATCCTGTATCTTGGGCCAGCTCATGAATCGTATGGCATCAATCCCTCTCCAGTAACGCGGAAAGAGCATACACTTCCTCTTCTTCACTAACACTAGGACGACCTAGCCGACACATGTCTGCCACATTTTGGCACATTTTATCATTTAGATATTCCTGAAATTCCTGCTGGTTTCACGCCTTATATTATTCAGATTATCCCTGTTTATTTCACTTGGATCCTGTAACCATTGCAATTTGGCTTGGTTTTTTTTTTTTGGTCTAGTAATTTTGAGCATCCTTCATCCAACCATGGGATATGCTTCAGTTCATAATAACCTAGACTCTACTTGGCAGAAATTTTTATATTCTTTCTAAAAGTTTCCCAAGCTTTATCATCATCCACCTAAGTGTCCAAGTTTTCCAAAGCCACAAACCTGTTTGAGATTTCGACACGATACTGCTCTTTACCCTCTACCTCACATAATTTTTTGAGATTGAACCTCTCCATATGAACCCTGTGCATTGTTTGTTTACTCACTGCCAGTCTTTCTCTGACCTTTGCCACCACCAGGTAGTGGTCAGTATCACAATCTGCTGCTCTGAATGATCGGACATCAGGTATACTTGAATACTGTCTCCTATCTATCAAAATATGGTCAATTTGATTGTGTTATCTTCCCATCAGTAGATGTCCTAGTAAATTTATGGATGTTACGATGTGAGAACATTGTACTTTTGACAGAGATTTTTTGATGCGGCAAAGTTTACTACTCTAACTCCATTATCATTACAAATTTCATTAAGACTCTCATTCCTGATCGTTGGTTTGAAAATGTCTTCCCTCTCTACTTTGGCATTGAAATCTCCTAACAAAATTTTCATAGGGTACTTCGGGAATTTATCAAATACATGTTTTAGTTCTTCATAGAATATGTCCTTTATGTCATCAATTTTATCTTCTGTTGGGGCATGAACATTCATAACAATGATATCACACCAGCGACCTTTTAGTATTATATTTGATATCCTAGCACTAACAAACTCTACCCTCTTAACTACTGATATGATTCTCTTAATTCATTCATCAGTAATCTGTCAGATGACAGGTCCACAGTCTCTTCCAAAACACTTCTTCCACTTAATGCAATCTAGAGCTTTCTCCTTCAAATGAGAATATCCTCCTCTGTCCCCAAGGTCATCCAGCATCTTCTTACGTCTTCTTCCTCATCTTCCGGTCACTTCTATCCACCCCTCTATCTTTCCTTCAGTAACTTCTTTTAGAAGGCAGTTACTGCGTAAGATATGACCAATCCAATTAGCCTTCCGTTTTCTTATTTCATGTAGGATATTCCTCTGCTCACTGACGCTAAATAACACTTCTTCATTTCTCACATAATCGGTCCAACTGATCTTCTCCATCCTTCTCCAACACCACATTTTGAAGCTTTCCAGGTGTTTCTGATCTACTGCCCTAATTGTCCAAGTTTCAGCCCCATACAAGGCCATGCTCCAAATGTAGCATTTCACTAGTTTCTTCCTCAAATTTAAGTCCAACTTGCTGGTAAAAAGATTCTTCTTCTTGCTAAATGCAGCTTTTGCCATGGCAATCCTAGATATAATTTCACACGTACACGTTCCATCATCTATTAAGAAGCTACCCAAATATTTAAAACATTTCACATTCTCCAGTTGTTTTTGGTCTATCTTTATTGTGACTGGGGTTGGTTATCTTGAAATTTTCTTTACTTTTGTTTTTTCCACAACCGCCATTCAAACCACTCTGGTCACGCCTGTTGCTATACGAACTTGAACCATCTCGAGCATCATTTGCTCTGTGCTTCAAGTTGCTGCTGATGACGCTGCTTCTGGCATCAGTTTTTGGTTTTTGATGTCTCTCTTCGTCTGATGCCTACCCTTTGACCTGTCCAGCAAGGGAGGCCCTGCCAGTAGCTACACTACCACTGGTATATCTCTCAGGGTCCTTGCATACTTAAACCCCCTCACCATGATAAGGTGGAGACACCAACGAGGGGGACGATTCTCTTATGTACGAAAAAACCTGTACCTAATTCATGATTTACATTCCCCTTTCCATTGAAAAATGTATAGTCTCCTGCTCCACCTGCCACCTCCATCCCTTCGGACCTCCTGTACTCCTGCCAAATCTAACTTATATTTTAAGATTTGTTCTGCCACTGCCCTGAGCGAACTGCATTTTCGTAACAAAGTTATTTTTAACGGTGAGGAGATGTTAGCCCCACTCCCAACCCCCAGGCTGGAGGGTCACTTGTCAGCTGTCCATGACTCCTTATTCAATATATTTGCAGCTTCACTCCATATCTGGAGGACATATTCTCCATCCGCAACCTGAGGACACGCCATGCCATGGTGACAAGGGAACCACTGAGGCTGAAAAAAGGCTTAGAGGGTGCTGTGGTGATTTGTAAATTGTGAGGGAGATTATTTATAGCACTGTTATTACTAGTAGGTCCAACTGTAGTCAATAAAGCCATTTTCCAATCCATGCCCCATCTATGGTCACACCCCTGAATCATGACAGTATTAACCTGATTCACGTTTGCACAGTATTTTCATACAGAATGGCAATAGTATTTGCATTTTTGAATGCTGCAGGTTACTGTAGAGGACCACGTTCAATCCCATTATAGTAAAGTGGCACAGGGACAGGTTTTTCTCTGAACATTTTTATTTTCCCCTGCCATTAATTATTCCATTAGTGCCCATGCTCATCTGTTTGTGGGTAAGTATCATAGGCTTGTTTGAAGGTCCAGTATGAATGGACTCAGTCTTTCCCATTCTTTAGAATTAAAAAAGGGAAAAACTGGAACTATGAATTATCAGTGAAATTTTTGTATAATGTGATCTCATGCTCATTTTTTTTTGTAGGAAGAGCAAGATAGGATCCAAGAAGCTCTGAAGAACAAACTAGAGAAGAGCAAGGACAAAGATGATAACAAAGACCGTAAAAGGGATAGAGACAGGTGAGTAATGATCTTACATGAAATTTGATTTTGTAGCTATATGGAAAGGGGAGGGACAGTTTAATTCGGCTAGTGATGTAAAAGTTGTGTTAGAGTGATTGCTGCTTGTGGCTGTTAGCCAGGGTTGAAGGAATCTGTGACACTGGATTACAGATCTCGTATTTAGTCCATTGTGGGCATTTTTAAGTAATTTTTGTATGATGTGAATTGGAGAATAATCGAGTTAGTTCAGTATTTTAGTAGTGGTAATGGATAGAATTAATATCTTCTTGCGTTATACCAGGATAGTTGAGCTTTTAGACTCTCGTGGTTCTCTTGAAACTAGAAATCAATTCTAAACTTTATTAGTGTTGTTTTAGGATATTATTAGTGACATTGAGTAGATGGTCTGTAGGGATGAATGCACACGGGTACACATAGCATGACTCTGAATCGACCTGTAAGCATCGAGATGTGAAACTGCTGCATGTTGTTCTCAAGTAATATAACTAAGAAAATGGTAGCAGAACCCTAACTTTTGATACATTGGACATGACCTTGTCCTAATTCGATCTATATCACATTTGCTTTTCCTCACCTGAATTCTCTGTGCATGCATTTTAAGGTCTGTGTCTTCAGTTTTCAGTCCAAAGTGGTTGCAGTTGGATTAGGTATGTTTTGTGTTGGATTGTAAAAGAACAGATCAGCTGTAGTGAAGAAATATGATTTGTGACTTGCTAACCTTATGTGCTGTATTTTCCTTGCACAATTTTCTGCATGTTAGTGATTGTTCATTTACTGTCATATCCAAGTTAAAAAAAGTTGAAAATTGATACTGTGTTGCTTGCAAGATGAATGATAGTGAGGAATAGAGGTGAATCATTGTTCGCTGACACTTTCTTAGTTGTTAGTCTTAAAATAGAGTGGAAGGCTGAATCATAGTGGATAGATTGCAGCATTTCATGGATATTAAAAAATTAATGTTATGACTATGTTTCTTTGCACATGCACATGTGTACATGTGCATACACACACTCCAGAATTTAGTTTATGTAAGGCAGAAAGAGTTTGGCTGTTGTAAAACTGTTCTACATTAGATTTTCTGACAGAGCTTTTAAAGTGAAAGTAAGTCATTATTTATGTTGACACTTGATTCTACCTAAGCTGACTTTGTTACTGGACTATGTTTCAGGAAAAGAAGCCGTTCTCGTGACCGTCATCGAGACCGTGACAGGGATCGTGACAAGGACAGGAGGGATCGTGACAAGGAGAGAGAAAGAGAGCGTGAAAAGGAGAGGGAACGTGAGAAGGAAAAAGAGAGGGAACGTGAAAAGGAGAGGGAAAGAGAAAAGGAACGAGAAAGAGATAAAGAACGGGAGAAAGAGAAAGAACGTGAAAGAGAACGGGAGAAGGAGCGGGAACGAAGAGACAAGGAGAACAGCCACAGATCTCCATCTAAATCTCCAAGAAGGTAAACCTGCAGTTGATATATAAGGGAAACCTCTCATTTGGACACCTGTGAGACAAGAATGGAAGGAATGAAAAATGGACATGAGGTTTTGAACTTGGAATGTTAGGAGTCTGTATAGGTCAGGTTCTTTGAAAACTAGCAAGAGAATTAGCAGGATATAAATTGTGTTTAGTGGGAGTATAGGAGGTCAAGTGAGACGTGGAATGCGTCTTTTGGAATGGTGATCAGCTGGGCCGTCGCATTCCGCATGATGTCTTCTCTTGACTCAAATTGGGTTCCTTTCAGCGGCATTTTCAGCTTGGGAAATAGCCAGAAGTCACATGGAGCCATGTCGGGGGAGTAGGGAGCCTGACGAACCACAGGGATGTTGTGTTTGGCGACGAAAATCTGAATCCGATGCACAGAATGGGCGGGTGCATTATCATGATGGAGCTGCCAAGTTTTTGCTGCCCACAGATCCAGTCGTTTGTGCTGCACAGCATCACGAAGGTGATGAAGGACCTCCTGCTAGTATTCCTTTGTGATGGTTTGACCTTGTGGTGCATACTCATGATGCCCAACCCCACGGGAGTTGAAGAAAATGGCCAACACGACCTTGACATTGCTGCGGACCTGCCATGCTTTTTTTGGCCTCGAGGATGTCGGATGTTTCCACTATGACGACTGCATCTTGGTTTCCGGGTCGTACCCATAAACCCACGACTCATCGCCTGTGATCACGGTGTTCAGAAAGTTGGGGTTACTGTTTGCATTGTCCAGCACGTCCTGTGCAATATCCAGACGGTGTTGCTTCTGCTCCATTGTTAGCAGTTCCGGTACGAGTTTCGCGGACACACTCCTCATGCCCAAATTCTTGGTCAAAATTGAACGTCCTGATCCAGTGCTTACCTCTGTCTCGTTCGCAAGTTCTCAGACTGTGATACGACGGTCCTCCATGACCAGAGTCCGCACTTGCTCAATGACATTGTCATTTCAGCTTGTTGAGGGTCTGCCTGAATGCAGTTTGCTGTCCATTGATGTGCGGCCATCTTTGAAACAGTTGTACCACTCTTTTATCTGTGAGTTGCTCATGGCATCGTCCCCGAAAGCCTGTTGAATCTTGCGAATGGTTTCCACTTGGGTATCGCCAAGCTTTTGGCAAAATTTGATGCAATATCGCTGCTCATGTTGTTCCGTCATTTTACACCTTACTGGAATCCAACGAGCGCCCACTACACGTCCTCACTCATAGGCCGACTGCCAGCGACTGACAATTTCTGTGGGTGGGAAAAAATTCACGACTGCGCATGAATGCCCCCTCCACATCTCCACCGAAGGGAGTCTCCCGCGCTTCATTGGTTTACGCGGGAAAAAAGAAATTTCAGTACAGTAGACTCTCGATTATCCGCGGTAATGGCGGGGAGACTTNCCAACCACCTGTTTTTAAGTGATCAAAACCATTAAATGTTTTTCCACTTCTTGTTCCTGGCTACAGATCCAGAGGTCTGGGTTCAATTACGGGTGCTACCAGCTTCTCTAAAAGTAGTGTGTCTGGAACAGGGTCCACTCAGCCTTGTGAGGATAATTGGGGAACTGTTTCAAGGAAACAGCAGCTCCAGGCCAAAAAAACCCTAAATTAATGGCAGTTGGGATTCATTGCACTGACCATGTGGCACCCTGTGTACGCTAAAGTTGGCACTAACTATGCAGACAAGCGGTGGTCACTTGTTTGGTATAGTTTGCTTGTGGACTAAAACAGTAGTTTGTTTTTTTGTTTTTCCACTGCTGGCAGTCTCTTACTGGTAAGAGTTTTTACCCTTTTTGCCACATTGTTTAATGGCTTCCTTGTTCTTCAGTATGGTGAATATGGTCAGCTTAGCTGTGCCATATTGAGCAGCCAGGTCTAATAAACGTGTACCACTTTCCCACTTAGTGATAATTTCCTTTTTCATTGCTATCATAGAAATTACGATCTCTTAGGCTTTTTGCCTCTAGTAACTTTCTTTTGTGCTATTATGAATGGGTATTATTAAAGATAATATAAAAATAACTCAGATAAATAAAATGCTTAAAACAGACTGAATTTGTGAGATGCTCACTGAATCAGTCAAGGCAGAACTGAGTGAGCAACTGCACGTGTGACCAAGCAGAGAGAGAAGGCAACCATGTTACCACCAGGTGATTCATTGTTCAAGATTCAAAACTGTTTTTTTTCTCAAATGGTTTGTTCGAGTTTCAAGTTGTTGAGGCATCAAACTGTTCGAAGTTCGAGAGTTCACTCTATTATAATAATACTGAACCAGCAAACAATTATATTTATTTTTATGGAAATGGGAATGAAATTGTCACGTAGGGACATGCTTTTGTGTAATGAGTTTGTGGTTTTGAGTTCTAAACTTTGCTGTATCATGAAGAACACAATTTTCCTATATCACAGCATTCATACATACACTTGGGAATCTCAGATTGATAATATCTTGGCAGAAAAGAGACTTTATTAAAATATACTTTGTGTCCAGTCTGTTGGAAGATCTGATTATGATACTAAGCACTGGTTGAAGAAATTATGAAGACAGTATTGCTATGTAAATGAACAGTGCAAAAGTTTGATATGGAGAGATTTCACCTTGAGAAGCTAAACACTGTGAAAGTTGAACTGACAGGAAGATCAGAAAGGCTAAACAAAATTTTGGTCAGGATACAAAAACAGTATTTATTGGACTGTAATTTGAATATCATTGTTGCCCTCTGTGTATTTATGATCTTTTGGAGCTTATATAATACCATGTTATTTACATAGGCAGACTTAATTTATTCCTGTTGTCATGTAAAATGGTGTGACTATAGACAGAGTTTTGGATTGGATGTTGGATGTATTGACCACTTATACTCATGACTCGGAACTACAAGCAATTACAGCACCACCACTAATCTCCACAATTCACAAATCACCACAGCATCCGCTAAGCCTTTTCCAGCCTACAGTGCCTTCACTAGTAGTTGCCTGGTAATGGCTCCAGCAATGGTTATTCCTCTTCGTCCATGCTCAAGTCCTCTCTGAATGGCAGCCCCCATCCAACTCTTTTGCAACTGTCCCTTTTCTTCACAGCCTCCCATACAGAACTGACTTGGTTTCCCCAGTCGTCTTCCTTATAACTTTTCGACACAGACTGCATAGACAACACCATTCCTCTCTTGCATGTGTATCCATTGACATGGGAATGTGTTTACCTAGCTGTTACCTAGCAGCGGCTGCCTATTCATGCTTACTGAGAATCTGCTGCCTAGCAACAGACGTTTCTGTTCCATGGTTGTTACCTAGGAACAGATGTTTCAGAGTCATTTGCTAGCAACAGCTGTTTCTCTGGCTCCACAGTTTTTTGCTTTGTGCAAATATGACATACTATGTTATCCCCAAGTTTTTGGATGATTGTTGAAATTGTTACAACTAGACTAATTTTCATCCTTTGAGTGTATTGAAAATATGCCCAGCACCTTCTGTATCTTGAGAAATATTCATTGCAAATTAATTTCCTAACACAAGTTTAAGAATATCATTCACACTGATTTTTTATGGAATGAATTGCAGTTTTATCTTATGTAAGAACTGCTAGTGAAATGTGATTGGGAATAACCTTTAGAATAACTTTCTTACAAAACTTCCACAGACATTGTGGACTACAAGCTAGGGTGATATAGTGAGCTGACTTTTAACTTTTACAGTGCATAAGTGGGTAACAGTTAAGTACGATTTCTGTATTTTCCAGTAGCAGTTAATAGGATGCTGTCTTTTACAGGACATCTTCACCATCAGCTAAGACTGAAAGTAAACCGGAAGTGAAGGATGAACACAACAACAGACGCTCTTCATCATCTCCAGAGCCCGAAAACAAAAAGAAACAGGATGCATCTACTAAAGTGTAAGTACAAAGAAACTTTGATTCAAGGGACCTTCAGTGTAGTTTTTCCTGTATTTAAGGTACGTTTATTGTAGTCTTGGCTGAAGCTCATCTTATTTATTATTTTTCTTGATTTGGCATTTGTTGATCTAAAGGATTTAACGCAATTTTACATTTAAACTTTGATTCCTATGCATGTTTTGGTTCTCAGTATGGCATTGTAGGAAACGTTTGTGTGTGTGTGTGTGCATGGCCAGCCTAAACAGATTTACATGCCACTACCATAAGATGCAGTTAACAGATAAGCACAGTGGCTGAATCACAACCATCTTTTCATACCTAACATCAAAACGTTACACATACTCCAACCATGATGTTTGGAACAAACCATAATGTAGTGTATGTACATAACAATTGGTATAATTTAAACTGCTCTGTGTGTTATGTCCCCCCCCAAGTTCAGTGCAAGTAGATGTGTTAATTTTCACATGTATGCATGCGCAGAAAATTATGGGTGGAATGTGGGTGGAAGTTATGAGTTTGCAGCAAATTTTGAGCAAAACGTGTGATCCATGCTTGCTTTTACTCATGAAGGACAGGTCCTAATTAGCAGTAAGTTCCGAGCACAAGAAGTTACGAAAGTTTAAGAAAAATATGTAATTCTTTGGTTCAGGTAATGCTAATGACAGCAAGAATGTTGAATTATTCTTTGTTATTTTTATGTCACTGTGATAACCACTTCAAAGGAGAAATGTTCCCTTATGTGCATTATTATTTAAACCTTAGTGCCTTATTGCATTACATGTAACCAGTAATTAGGGGATAGTCTTGTATTTATGTAGTTTATCCATTTTTTGATGTTACAGGTGTCTTTTAGAACAAGCACTTTGAGTATTTTATAAGTGCTTGTAGTACTGAATTTTCATTGTACAGTGGAACCTCGCTTAACGAGTATAATTCGTTCCAGAATCTTACTCGTAATGCGAAACACTCATTAAGTGAAACAGTTTTTCCCATATAAATTAATGTAAAATACGATAATGCGTTCCATGCCGAAAAAAATACTCAAAAAAATTTATGTATAATGTTTATTCAAAGAAAATTATATATACATTGTTAAGGAGCATGAATCATCTTCAGCTTTTCTTCTGTGCGGAATGAACCAACCTGGAATGCGAATTCGATTTGCAGAAAACAAAAAAAAAGTTGAAATAATTAGTTTATTATTTACGATACATATCTAATTCTTTTTTACTAGAAAGCTGTCTAGAGACATTTGTTTTTGCTGATGCTTCAAAATTTGTTGAAAATGCAACACAGCATTATCATTAAATAAATTTGTAGCGCGCATAGCCACTGTCTTATTATGGTGATGCTTCTCAATGTATGGTGCAAGAGTTTCCCATGCTTTCAGCATTTCTCTTATTGCTCCAGAAGATTGTTGCTTTGCTGTTGCCTCCTCCTCCTCCTCTGACAAACTCTGCTCCACAACTTCTTGCTGTGAAACACAATGCAACTCCATAAGTTCTTCGGTGGTCAGCTCTTGGCTGTTCTCTTCCACAAGCTCATCGATATCATTGTTATCCATTCAACAATGCTCTCTGGCCAAAGCTTTTCCAAGCAGAAGTGAGGTTTCTCTTGGTAACCCCTTCCCACGCCTTTTCGATCATCCTGAGGCAGGCAGTGATGTGGAAGTGATATTTCCAAAACTCTCTGAGAGTGAGATTGGTCCCTTCAGTCACCTATGCAGCAGTGTATTCACTGATATTTTGTTGTGACAGAAACATGATTACCATGCTGCTGTCTAGCAGTGGGCATCTTGCTCTGGCTTTCAGGCATCATGTCACAGTATATTTTAATTGTCTTGTAAGAGCTATTTGTACACAGCATTGTGTATGTTGTGCAGTTTCTCCTGACAATGTGGACATTATCACCACCAGAATGCAGTATCTTGAAATAAGAATACATTGATGTAAGCAGTGTATTTTATGCTCACCTACACCTTGTGACTTAAAATTTCACTCTGTTAGTCCTTAGCAATTTCCTGTAAGGTTGATTAACAAAGAATGTCTGATTAATGCTAAGAGTATACCTCAGTTGAGTCCAAGGATTTACCCTTCTGTTCATATTTAATAAACAAGCAATATGTGTGATGAGCATTTAGGCATAATCATTACACCTCACTTAAGTTGTCAGTTCCCAGAAGAAAGCCCAAGCATCTGAATTTGCATGAAATGTCATTCTGCCCTTTTCTTCCTAAAATCTCTTGCCAAAGAAACTTTGCAGACCAGTGTTTTATATTCTTGTTTCTCATGCACTTGGTGAGAGAATTCTCTTCATATATGAATCTTGTATGCCCATATTTTTTGTCCCCTGAAAAACCTATTAAGTTGAAATATTTTTTTCAGGGAAGCAATTCGTGCTATGTCAAGTGTTCAAGCAAAACTCCTGAGCCTAGCAGGAGGACCCAAAATGAAACCTTCAGACACAGCTAATGACAGATCGTCCTCATCTCGATCAAGATCTAGATCACGCTCACGTTCACGATCCAGGTCTACAAAATGTCCAGTAACCAGGAAGCGTTCATCTAGTCGTGAAGCTAGCAAGTCATCATCGCCTTCTAGGTCAGATGTGATTTGTATTTTGTATGCTTACTTACTAACATATTGGATCAGAGTTTCTGTTGTTATCTGATGAACTGTCCTAGATTTTCTCAGCAGTCTTTACCATGCAGTATTCTAACCTTACCTTTCATTTGAACAGGAAGTACCAAGAGTATACACTCCAGTTGAATAAAACTGTCACACTTTCAAGGTTTGTTAACATTCTGTTACATCAGTTGCTACAAGTATATTATCAGAATTTATACTGGAAAGAGATGAGATGCCACTATATATTATGATGTGTTTATATTCTGTCCAAAAGATGTAAAATTGATGGCCATTGGGAGTCATAATTCGCTCATATGCCTAACCAGTAATAACAAATAAAGTGTTTGTGTAGATCCAATAACACCTAGATACCCATTAAAGAGTTCTGTCAGATTTACAGTTTTTCAATTTCTTTGGATGTATTTGCCATTGGATATCTGTCCTTAAGAATGTGTGTTTCAGTTACTAGAATGTTCATATAAATCTTGACAGTTCAGAATCTCCTAATAATCAGTGATGACATATGCCAAGCCTCTTAACACTGGTGTTTTTTATGTGCCTCTTTATGTCATGGTATATCTCCAAATGCGAGTTCTACTCCATAAAGGGAAACTAATGGTCTCAGGCAAGTCCTTGCATATTTAAAGGCCAATGGATTAACTTTTTGAGGTCTTCTGATTGGACTGTGGTTTGCTGTGATTTTTATCTGTAACTCCCAGTAAATAAAAATAGGATGGTGCTGTATAATGGGCTGTTACAGTTCTCCATCTCATAACATTATAGTTAAAATGATCCTGTCATCCATTTTCAGCATTTTTATTTCTTGTATTTTATTTATAGGGCTCCTAAAAAGTCTCCTGAAAGGGAAAGAAGCCGCAAGAAAAAGATAGCCTCCAAATCTCATACTCCGTCTAGATCTCGAAGCTCTTCCTCTTCAGCTACAGAATCCCACAAAAGCAAAGGTGGTAAATCTTCTCAGTTAGGAACAAAGTCAAATAATCGTTCTAAATCAGGATCACATTCCAAATCCAGATCTCCTGTCAAAGGAAGAGGTTCAAAATCGCATTCAAGGTCACCACCTAAAAGACGCTCAAGATCACCGGTGAAAAGATCAGGATCGCCAAATAAATCAGCTGGAAAGGGAGGAAACAACAGATCTCAGAGTTCAGAGAGTGCAAGCAGTAGAAGTGAATCCTCATCATCTGAACACTCAGAAGAAGGTTAGTTTCATTTATTTTTCTTTTCTTTAAGTTACCACATTAATGGTATATACCTTATTCCTTTCTGTCTTTCAGTAGTTGAACATAGGTAGCTGAAATGCAGAAAATGTGCCATAGAATGTAATGAGAAAGTGACAGTTTTGTATATTGCTAAAATGACCTGTGCTAAAGCTCAAAAATCATCGCTTTAATGATACAAGTAATAGTAGCATGTCATTTATGATAATGGTAGTTCTTTTCCTTTTTGGATGAAAATATTGCCAAAAATTGCAATTGTAAAGAGTGGAATAATATATAGGTGTTGTTTATGTTATGTTTATGTTTTATGAATAATTTTAGTTGTAATATTTGAGAAGGTGGCAAGATAGTGTCATTTGTAGAATGGTATGCGCGACAAAAATGATGGGTTCTAGTTCAGATGATAGGATTTATTAGTACTTCGGTTATACACTCTCTTGTAATTACACTTAAATACAGCACTATCGCTGATTTACACAATTTACAGTTCGCCGTTGCACAGGCACTAGGGTTCTCTGTCCCCAGTAGACGTCTTCTAGCCGTGGATCTCAACACAGAAACTATTGCTTCAAATCACTACATATATCACACATAACATTTTACAATCACACTTTAAATCTTCATAGGCCAACCACCTGTATTCTTCTGTACTCATGGTTCCATTTCGCTCTGTTCGCAATGCTTCTGCCTCTACTGTTTCTCTCTTGTAACCACTCCCCGCTGAACTATGACACTCAAATAGCCGAGGGACAGACAACACATTTCCGCAAACATGTCACATGATCGCTACCGACTGCTGTTGTGTGATGTCACCACATGTGGAGGAAACATGTCACATGACTGCTACGTACTCTTGTGTGACATCACAGCACACTTGTTGCGTAGCGAAGGTCTCTCTGCGAACATAGAAAACACTGTTCCTGTACTGTTGGCCACATGTGTGTTGTGGGCTTTGTCTAGCAACGGGTCTACATGCCACAACAGAAACACAGGAAGTAAGTAATGCCCATTCAGACCTTGCTGCTACAAGATAATATCATCTTCCTGTTTGCAATGTAACCTTTGTTATTGAATAAGACCAGAGGATAACTGGTCATTGAAAATTTTTGGCTTGGGTTGAACATCTTGTGTATTGTTGTTGTCCTTCCTTTTTCTTATGTTCAGTTTACAAATTTGTTGTAATCTTGTTTGTAATTGATGATGATTATGTTATCATTCATTTAATACTTCAACTTAAAATGTTGCCGACGAATGACTAAGAATAATTTAAAATGTAAGTTTGTTTATTATATTTATTAACAGGTAAAGGTAATAAGGAAGAAGATTTTGAAATCCACAAGAAGGAAGATAGTGTACAAAAGAAACGGCATTATCGAAATAACAACAAAGACAATGACTCCTCAGGCAGTGACTCAGATGCTGAACACGCAAGGAGGGTAAGTTAGTGTGATTTTTGCGTTTCAAACATCTGAAATTCTGTAATATGTTACAAAATGTAAATTGCCCTATCTTCGCAGAATAAGAATAACTGTTTCATATCTGGGAAATCGCACGTTCCTTAGAACAGAGGTGATGAAATTCATTACTCAAGGCAAATGCTAGAGTAAGACTTAAAATGGGTCCTCGCACCCCTGGGCTATCTTTGCAATTACAGGAACAATCAACTGTTGTATTAAAGAAACATGGGTGGTAAGAGTTAACAGCTTGAAGCAGTGATTTTCAACCTTTTACATCTTTAGTGTCACTGTTCATTTTGTCAGAAAACTGATATTCCCATACTAAAAGCAAAGTTTCTCTTTGTATTTATACAGTTGTCTGCATTATAGTATTATATAAATTGTGACAGAGATAGTGGGCTTGTGGGAAATGTTGTGTGTGTGTGTGTGTGTGGGAATTTTCCTGTAACAATAACTGAAGAACAGCCTTCCAAATAGATTATGTAAGTCATCTGTTAATTATTTCTTTGATTATTTCTCATAATTTATTATTGCATACATGCAATGTGAACAGTGTGAATGAACAGATTTTTTTCTTTGTCCAGGAGAAAAGAATTGAATCAAGTCCTCGGTCACCTCACCGACGCCATAGAGCAGCCAGCCGGGATAAGGAGAGAGAAAGAGAAAGAGATAGAGGAAAAGAAAGAGACAGAGATGGTGAAAGAAGAGGTGGGAGATACAGGCACTCACTGGAGCATGAAAGAGAGAGAGAGCGGGACAGAGAACGAGAGCGCGACAGAGAAAGAGATCGAGAGAGGCATAGGTTGTGGGAGAGGGAAAGAAGAAGAATGCCTCCACCATCAACAAGGAGACCACCCTCTAGGAGAAGGTATGGGTTTTGTGCAGTACATAAAAGGTAAAAAGCTGTCTGTATAACAGGCCATAGGAGGCACATATGGTTGTGAGACGTAGACAGTTGACCCACAGATGGTGGCAAGGTCAGCCTCACATGCCAGCTGCCCTTTACATCCAGGAAAATTCCTGATACTTATTTCTGTTAGAAGCTGGGTTGACCCCAGGGCCATAGCTTGGCTGGAAGGATTAGGTCAATTGAAAAATCCAGTGACCTTGGCGGGAATCGAACCCATTACCTTCCAGCTTATAGCGTATTGCCTAAAGCAACTATGCTACTTCATGCCCCTGTCATGCAGTACATGCTTTAAGGTATTCCAGTGAAAAGTCTGAATGAGGTAACGTACAGAATTTTGCTTAGGAAGCCATATGGTCCAAGGATGCTTGAGAAAGTGCATTGTGTAATGAAATTAATGAAGACAGCAGGAAGCCAGAAACTTAGTAATTTTCAAACAGCTAATTAACTGTTGACTGCTCAGTGAAGATTCTGCATCTGCGATTTCGTTAGTAGAAGTCATACCTTATTGCCTTGTTTATAAGAAATGTTAGGTAGCAGTGTTCATGTTTATTAGGCTGTAACATGGGGATGGGCAATTATTTTGGCAGAGAATTCATATCACTAGCTTCTGTAAGCGTTACAAGTTACATGTGTATCGATGTAGGATTATAAATTTCCAATACACATCTCACATTTGTATATACAGGAAATTAAGAGTGCGTGGTTAGTGTAAGTTCAGGAAGATTTAAATTCAACAAAACAGCCCATAATTGTTTTTTTCCATAACGTTATTTTAACCATATTACTAATTAAATTATGATTGTATTGTAAGTTCATGCAGAAGACACGGTGCTAATATGTAAGTAAGTAAAGGTACCCTTGTAACAGGCCATAGAAGCCCATAGGGTTGTGAGATGTTGAGGTTCCCACATTTTCTAGACAATTGGCTCATGGATGGCAGCAAGGTGGTCAGCCCTATGCGCTGGCCACCCTTTGTCCTCAAGAATATTCCAAGAATGTTCCTGGTACTCATTTCTGTTAGAGACTGAGTCGACCCCAGGGCCATAGTGCAGCTGGAAAGATTAGGTCAGTCGAAAAAAATCCAATGACCTCATTGGGACTTGAACCCATGACCTTCCAACTTATAGCATAGTGCCTCAACCAACTACGCTACTGCGTGCCCTGTGCTAATATGTTTAGTTGTTATTTTAATACTCGTATGTTGCCTTGGACTGTTTTGAAAATGTGGATAGGCTGGATGAGGCTAACAAGCCAGCTTTTGCTCATCCCTGCTGTATTCACCATGTAAATGGTGAAGGTCCTTTTAGATAATACAAGGTGCGTCAGAAAGAATGGAAGGATTTCAAGCAACCATTACACCGCGATGGGGGGAGGCGTAGAGTGGGGGTGGGGGCGTGAACCGTAGGGTCAGCCCTGTGAAATCCATCCATTTTCCTGATGCACTCTGTAATTAATGATGCGGTTTCTACATCCAGGGTAACATGATAACTTCATTATTAAGGTCAGTTGGCCCACTATTGGTGAAAATAATAATCATAAAGTGTCCAAACAATGGGTCAGGTTGTATCTTGTATAGAAATTGGACTGTGTTCTGTTCAGGTAATTCATGAGTAAAAATTTTATGTGATGCCTTACCCAAATTACCACTTTTATATACTCTATATTTCCGGGCACTACAACTGAATAATTTTTGTGATTTGTAGTCAGCATCCATAATTGTGCTCTTGCTTTTGTAGAGTGAGAAATGTTCATTTTAATAAAAATTGTTAATGTTTGCTACAGTAAATGGAAATGTGATTTGTATTTGGTTTGAAATGCACCTGACTGAACATGAATCTAATATAAATTCTCTTAAAATCATGAGAAACAGAAAACCAGCAGTGTGAATAATTTGTAATTAAAGCATAGATGTCAGCGTTCTACGTGCCCTAACAGTATCTGTAGAATTCATAAAAATATACAGTTTCTTTGCATTTATATTGTAGGAGTCCAAGAAGAACTCCAAGGAGAAGTCGCAGCCATCGTTCAGCTTCTCCATATCACTCACGTTCTCCACATGGTGTAAGTTGTCTTTTCTCTAAGATTGTAGTACCCCAGTATCCAGGTAGTTTGCAAGTTTATACTTGCTATCTGCTTAGAGACAGTCTTATTTATGTTTTGAAGCCCAGGTTGTTGCTTTATAGCCTAATACTAAGAAAACTTATTGCAGATGACATAATCTGCAATATGAAATTAGAGCCCCAGCAGAATCGTACAACATTTCAGCAATATCAGCAAAATCCATGTCATTTGAATGTTTTTTTTTCCTCCCCCATCCTGCTGTGTGATTTTCATTTATAATGGAATCGGGGAGATGTTTTGACCACTGCATTTGTAAATTGTTACCATCATAATACCTTTGTAATACGTTTGCTGTGGATTTCAGTATTTGGGAAGTAAAAAGCTCTCTTTGAATTTGGATCATATTCCATTTCCCATAATGTCACAGTAGGTATATTTCCTGCCCCTTTTGTTGCCAAATCTTCATCTGAAAATTGGTCTGCTTTTCCGTTGTTGACCCACTTGCAACGGAGCAGCCATCCTTGGTATGATTAATGCTGTGTTTAGGAATGGAGCTATACTTGCACTCACTTGTATGACTTCCTGTCATGATGCTTAACCTGAGCTATCAACTTTACTTATTTTGGAGTGAATGTAGCACAACAGTATGATGGTACACTGAAAATTTTGGCATGGAAAGTGGACAGAAGGTACTGGATGGTAAGGATTAGTTCTCATAGATTTTAAAGGGTTCTAACAGTGGTGTATAACACTTGGAATTGCTGGGTTTTTGGACTTTTTTATAATACCGGTCAGTGGACAAAATCCAAAAACCCAGCAGTTCTGAGTATTTTCACATAAGAGTAAGGTTGGTGTAATGACTAGGAACTACTGTGTGCTCTTATTTTGTCTTTCAGAGATCTTTGATTTGAAGTACATCATTATTATGGCATTCACTATGACCTTGTTTTTTGCTGCAGGGCTGGAAATGGGTATGGACACAGGTAGATACTGTCTGCTTCGTTCCATTGACCACTGCTGATGTAACTGTTGTTTCCAACAATCTGTATAGGAATGTATTCAGAAACTTACAATATAATAATTTTGTTTATAATATGTATTTGGCGTTCCCTGGACTTTTCTGTTGATCTGGAGCATATACCTAGTTCTGGAAAACTATTTTGACCTATTTGTAACTGTTTTATGATTTCATTTGTTAGCAGGGAAGTCACAATTCTTCTGAGAGGCGACCTTCTGCTTCTCATGATGAAAGGAGAAGGAAACCTCGTTCTGAGTCTCACAGTGCCTCTCCACCACCTGCCAAACAAAGGGTTAGTTGGTACTGATTTTGAAGATTAACTTGTAGACAGATGTTTGCTATTCATGTATGTAAATAATTTAACCCTTTTCATATTTTAAATAGGGTTCTCAGTTTGGGTTCAGGTACATATTGAATATTAATCTAATGTTCACAACTGTCACAGGTCCCTTCAATGACTTTAAAATAATTTGTGTGAGATAAGAACATAGGCAAGTATTTCATTTATAATGTTAGTTTACCTCTGATGTTTGCCGCTATTGGCCAAATTAAGGAAGTGTAATGGTCAAGATGTCCTCTGTATAAAGTAAAGGTAAAGTTGTCCCTACCCCTGGGGAAAGAGCCCACTGGTATCCATTGGATAGGAGGTACGGTGGACCCCAGAGTGGGTCTGAACCATGTGGAGAAGAGATAATTCTTGACCTTACCGGAATTCAAGCTCTGACCCCTCAGTCATCCAGCCTATAGCCAGTCGCTATACCAACTACACCATCCCGGCTCCTCATATAAATATATATATATATATATAAAGTGCTAGGGAAAATTATGCTCAGAAGTTCGTCAGTAAACAGTATAAGTATGACTTGAAAGGATTCTGGCGATGGTGTATGCTATATAGAACTGTTAGGCTTATTTTGGACTCTCCATCGTCTGGTTAGAAAGAGCTAGTCTCAATCACTGGACCTGGTGTCACTGGTATCTTCCATACACCAGATGGTGGATAGAATCCAAAATAAGCCTAATAGTTGTGTACAGTATAAGTACTTGTATGATTATCAATTTTAAATTCTAGATAGCATAACCATGTAGATTGAAACATTTGAAGTAAAGTTGGAATTGTAAATTCCTCAGTGAACTACAGGTACTCCATGCAATAAAGCATGTTAATTGTACCTATTGCTCACTTAATGAACTTCATTTTCAATATAATGAACAGTGTATGTTTGTAGGAATTCTTTTTGAGAAGGCAGGGAAATACATACTTGGGGAGGTGAGGACGTATAAGAAATGTTAGAGATGTGTTTTCTCTGTAATATTTATGAATTGCATTTATCATAATTGTTTCACACCAATTCAAATTCTAGTGTGCATATTGTTACCTTTGTAGTCAACAGCCTGTCCAATAAATTAATATTGTTTATTGTTGTTGCTACCACATGACATGGAGTTTGTGTTTGTTTTCTTGAAGACATATGAGTGAGGGGCGTCATACATGTGATAATGAAGTTGTATTGCATTGCATCAGCTATAAGAAAATGAGCATGAATAAAATAATAGTCTTATTTGCAACGATAAATATCATAAACAAGTAATTATATTCTTATTTTAATGATTTAATACTAAAACATGGGCTGCACCATAGCTCACGCAGTTAGTCGCTGGCTTCCCACCGCGGTGACCTGGGTTTGATCCCGGGCCTCGTCAAGTGGGATTTGTGTTGGACAGAGTGGCGCTGGGGCAGGTTTTCTCTGAGTACTTCGGTATCCCCTGCCAATCTTCATTCCACCAAATTATCCATCATGATAATCACCCAGGGCAGGTACAATAGGCCATTCAGTGGCCGCCGTGCCGAGTGGACCCAGTTGGACTCCACCCCCCACTAACCGATTTTTTTAAAAAAAATTTACTACTTAAACATACATTAAAAATACTGAAGGATTTTTCTGGGATTTGTGAATGAGTCAGAAACTTTTAAATGTAAAACACTGGGAATATGATTTTTATTTTAGAAATTTTCACCTTATGAACACTTCACACAACATATTACCTTCATAAATCGAGGGATACCTATGCTTGTCTTACAAATAATTTTGTATGCTTTTATTAATTGTATTAGTAGGCAGATACAAACTTGAATAGTTCAGAGTTGAAGTTTAATGTAATAGGAAGTTTTGGCTTGTGCAAGGGAATGGGTTATGAGATAGATGATCGATGATCATCTTTATTTTCTCATTACCACTACATGTTTTGGTCACTTGGACCACCATTGGGTGGTTTGTAAATAAATTAACAAAGCATCATCACTGAACTGCAAGGTTAGATGAATCCATTTTTACAATGAAAAATGTCATGATAAATTTCTTGTGTAAAATGGTAAAATATAAAAATAGATTATAATTGTTTAAATTGTTAAAATATTTAAAATTTGTGGGGGGGGGAGGATGATGTGTAATGTGGGGCTGGCTGAGTGTACTGTAGGAAGGATGTATATGTACATTCATGTGGCAAGAGCAGTGCGGTAACTGTTGATAGTTCATAATAATATTGGTGGATTTGCAGTCCTTTCTATGTTCCTTCAAGTAATGTATGTTTCATAGGTACTGTGGGGGTGTAACAGGTGTGTTACACTGTGTTCAAGAATCTGTGGTATCTGATTATGTAGTTATTGGTGTCTGGTGAAGTAATGAATTCTGAGTGTGTGGGGGGAGTGTAATTTGTGTTGCGGTAGTTATTTATGTGGAAGTTTTGTCATGGGTGCAGATTACTGTGTAATGGAATTCTCAGTTGTTATTTGATGTATGAGGTTGGTTATTTCATTCTGTAAGTTGTCCAGGATGATGCTGATTGGAGTGGTGGGAAGTAATTAGAATCAGTCTACTTCATTGTCAAGTCGACGGTCCCAGTACCTCAACAACCTGATATGTGTTACTCCATTTGGCATAACAAACAATAACCCAACGTATTTCACCTCTTTTGACTGTCCGGTATACTAACAAATGTCAAAGCCCACAGACTAATTGGCTCAGAACCACAGGGAGGGATAACCTGGTATTCTTCATATTCACAAAGTTATATACATGATAGAAATGTATATTTTTATCTGTAAGCAGAAAAATCCACACAGAAGTGAGATACTCTGTGTGTTTGTGTGTGTTTTTTGATTGGTTTAGGCATTCTTTACAAAGTAAGGAAAAAACACATTTTGGCAGCCATGTCTGTCTCTCTCTTGTGACCTAGTATCAGTGCTTAATCAGATGGATAGATTCTTTTTAATTTGACAGTGAGGACTTACTGAAATTTATGGGGAGCACTGATTTTCATTCACATTGTTCCACAACAAAACTTACTTTGTCTAGGAACATTAGTATTTAAATAATGGTGATATTCAGCATGAGAGGTCTTTGCATGACACGTTTCGACTATTTTGATTTGTAGCCATATTAATGGATTACAAAATGTACTTTTCTTGAGGCCATAAATGGACTTTTCCATATATCCACCGTGAACTGTTGTACACAGTTGTTATAATTGTTATAATTCAGTGTTGTGCTGTTGAAATATGAATTTTACCCATTTTATCTTAAACTTTTTATGTTTTGCAGAAGCGCTTTTTATAAACTGGTCACAGGTAAACTTGACCCTCTAACTACTAGGGTTGTTAATTATCTTGAATTCTTTCAAATGGTGTTTTAGGAACTGGACTTTTTTTTGTCCGGTGGTCAAGAGTAGCTCTTTCTAACTTGTCATACTGGGTAGAAACCTTTCCTTCCTTACAGGTGTTGGTGGAAACTTCCAGTTTCCAAAAATGTGGTGTTTGAGAAACTTCAGATAATGGGCAGTGTCCAGAGTAATAGTCATGTTTAGTGTTACCACTGTGAGAAATATTTGAACATAGCTCCTAAGGTATTCTTTGTTTTTGTGTTTAGTTCTCACACAGTCTGTCAAGAACACCATCACCATTCAGGAAAGGAGTAGACAAGGATCGGGGGAGCAGCATAGAAAAGAGGTCTATTAAAAACAAATCTAGAAGGTAAGAAAGAGTTCATAGGAGTGTGAACAGAAGGAAATCAAGTTCTTGGATTAGAGTCCGCTTTGAGAAGCTGATTGTTGCTCAGCTAGTTAAGAAATTCCCTGTCTATGGGACCTCAAGGATCCTTACCATGTTCACATGAACTTGCCGCTGGTCCCTGCCTTGAGCCGGAGGTGATATGCCACCACATTGTATCAGATTCAAGGGCTTGCATTAAACTTCTTCAGCTTACTTACCTACTTCCTTGCTTATGGGCTGAACCCTTCTTGAGAAGTTGCCAATACTGCAGCTACTCAAGAATTTCCCAGCATTTTATGGAATCCGAAGGTTCATTACCATGTTCACAAGATTCCTCTGTTGGTCCCTATGCTGAACCAGATCAATCCAATCCATACAATCCCATCCTATCTCTCTAAAATCATTTTAATATTGTCTGCCCACCTACACCTTGGTCTTCCCAGTGGTCTTTTTCCTTCTGGCTTTCCCAGCAATGTCCTATATGCATTCCTGTTCTCCCCATTTGTGCTATATGTCCTGCCCACCTCATCCTCCTCGACCTGATCATTCTAATTATACTTGGAGAAGAGTACAAGTTATAAAGCTGCTCATGCAGTTTTCTTCAGCCTCCTCTCATTTCATCTCTCTTCGGTCCAAATATTCTCCTCAACACCCTGTTTATGTTTCTCCCTTAATGCCAGAGACCAAGTTTCACACCCATACAGAACCACAGGCAAAAGTATAGTTTTGTATCTAACTTGTTCAGCAGCTCAATGGACAAAAATGTTCATGGCAGTTGTATTCTTCACATGGCAGTGTGTGTGTTAAGGAATTATGGAAAGTAGGTTTGAAGAGAGATTTTTCCATTTTTCTTCATTTCTTCTCTCACTCTTCTACAACATGTTGGACATAAAATTGTGAAATTAGAAAGCCACTTATTTTCTTTTAATCTTTTTCAGTGAACATGTCCACTTTCATGGACCATTTATTTATAAAGGTATTTAAATTACCTACTGCCTTTCCATAACCTCTCTTTTCATTATAAATGTGTTTCTTGTTTCTCCAGCATCATATCTGTTATAAATAGGGTGACATACCAAAGTCATCAATCTCCTCCACAATTTTTCTTTTCTGTATGTCCCACTTTTCTTTGTCGCCCTGTTTTTTTCTGGTACTGACTAGTCACCTTTACAAATTCCTTCTTCATTCCTTGTAGGGTTTCTCCTTTGTTATCATATTAGTGAACGTCATGTCCAAGTACAAATATCAATATTACATACACTAATTAGCTGATGTTCATGAAACTTTATAATTATCATGCCACTGAACATTTTTCAGTCTTCATGTTGTTCAACTTCCTGTGATTAGCAGTACTGCATGTTCATCACAAAAGCTTGTGAAGTGGGAGCAGCACTAGCTCTGCTGAATGCATGATCTGAAGTTTTGTGTGTATAAATAAAATAGGTTTTTAGGAATTTGCAGCTATGCAAATTATTTTGTTTTGAGGATGGTCACTGATGAACCATTGATATTTATGTGGTAACATGCGACAAACACTTCTACAAGTAGTATGAATGGTTTTAATACATATACAAGGTGGTTCAAATATGACCAGGACTGATTTGTGCGTAAATAAACTGCACTGCACAGCAGCTGTGCGACCTTGAGAGAGTGAAGCCAGAACCTCCACCCTCCCTCCTGTTAGGCTTAGAACCTGTTCAGTCCTGTCTGGGAGTTGCTAGAGTGATGAGCGAACAGAAGGTACCGCGGAGCATGGAACAATGCATTGTGATCAAATTCCTCCAACAACAGAATGGGGAAATGTGTCTCTCACGGATCCGTGTGTTTGAGTGGTGTAAGTGCTTCAGAGAGGTCAGAGAGCACGTGGAGAATGTGCCGCATGATCGTCGGCCGCGGACATTCTTCACCAAGCCAAACATTGATCGTGCAGACGCGCTTATTCGTGAGAATAGGCGCATCACTATCAAGGAACTTGGAGCAATGCTGTCCATCAGTGTTGGTAGTGTAGACGACATTGTGAAATACCACCTGCACTATTGCAAGGTGAATGCACGGTGGTTACCATGCACTTTGACAGACATGAACAAAATGGTGCGCATGCAAGCTGCCAGTCATCACCTACAGCAGTTTGAAGAAGAAGGTGATGCATTTTTTAAGTTTGTAGTGACCACCGATGACACGTGGTTGCACTACTTCATTCCCGAGTCTCAGCAGTCATTACGCAAGTGGCAGCATACCAGTTCTCCCAAACCCAAGAGAGCGCGGAGGAACTGTTCAGTAGGAAAAGTGATGGCAACGTTCTTCTGGGACTGGCAGGGGGTTATCCATGTAGACTTTCTGACAGATGCGAGAACAGTCAATGCAGCTTATTACCCAGACCTCCTGACAACAGGTGAAGGAAAAGATGTGATCCAAGCGGAAGACAGGTGGAAAGTGGGTAGCCTTCATTCAAGACAATGCACGCCCCCCATACGGCCAAAACAACGATGGAAACCCTCCAGAAACTGAAATGGAATCTTCTGGCACATCCGCCGTACAGTCCCTATTTGGCCCCAAGTGATTTCTACCTGTTCGGAAGGCTCAAATCAGACTTGCAAGGCATGGGGTTTGTGGACGACGCCGTCATCCAGACTGTTCGGGGGTGGATACACCTCCAATCACAAGCCTTTTCTTAAAAGGGCATCAGGATGCTTCCAGAACATTGGAAAAAAATGTGTTGACTCCGGAGAGGAGTATGTTGAAGACTGACATGTGCAAGTAAGTGTTTGGCAATTATGTTTTTTTTTTTAATCAGTCCCGGTCATATTTGAACCACCTTGTATTATCTAATCCTTTGGTATACTGAACTGCACTGTGCCAAGTATGAGTGCTCAGTGTGAAGCAGTTTGTTCTTATTGTTACAAATATAAAGGCTTATTCATGCACAAATTTATTTGAAGCTTTTACTTCAGTTCCCCTTATCTGAAAGTATAATTATTTTCCAGGTCTCCTTCAGAACATGATGAGAGGGATTTGTCAGCCAGTCGGAAAAAGGGTCCACCACAATTGTCCTCTCCTTCTGATAAGAACAAGTTGACATCAAGGGATCAGCTATCAGAATCTCGGCAGGTAGAAAGGAACCATAAAAAGTCATTGGCTGCCATAAAAGATGGGAGCCGTGAGAAGGCAGTACGAAAAGCTGTGAAACCGGATCCTGAAGATTCACCACCTGCCAGAGAAAGGTGAGCCTTTGAGTGGCGAATGTGAGCTGCAGTCAGGAGCCAGTAGCTTGAGACTGAGGAAATTAGCTGAAGCAGTGTAGTTACAGGATCATATGTAGGCACCAGACATCAGATATCCTGATTGAGGTTATTCATGATTATTTGCAGTCCCTCCTGGCAAGTACAGTGTTTATTGAAATCACCAGTGACCTTCTCTTTGCCAGTTTTCTGTTAATGTTTACTGAATGCAGTAATCTTCCACTATTTGACACTAAATGACCAGTACAGTTGATACAGCACTATTAAATCTCAGATTGAGGAAGCAAATTAATATATGTACCAGTAGATTTAAAAGTTCTCTATAGTGTTCATATTGTCGCACAGAGTATGTTTAGTTTCTCATTTTGTGAGATGTTTATGGGTACCTGTGTGCTCTGTTTTAATGTTAGCCTTTGCATTTTGCATAATTTCATGATGTGTGGCTATTTGTGTCATTTCATGAGAAATTATGTTAAACAGAAATTTCTTGGGTCGGTTTAGAGAACTATATTATATAATTCTTTTTGAGCAGGGATCATAAAGCCGGAAAGAAGCGTCCAGAGTCAGCAGCATGGCCAACTGAAAAAGAGAGGAAGCTTGAAGAGAAGAAACGAAAGATTTCTGAGAGCTCAGAATCTCCGTCTCCCAAGCGAAGGAAGTCTGGATCCCAGGACAAGCAGGTGGTAAGAAAAGTATGGCAGACATGATATCATAACTAATAGAGTGTAGCAGTTTTTTTCTTGAGAAACTAAAAATTGGTTAGCTATTCAAGAAATTCCCTCTCTTCTGTGGAACCTGAAAGTCCATTATTTCACACTCACTGATCACTATCTTGAGCCATATGAAAGTAGTCCAGCTGCTGCACCCAATTCATTTAACATATTAATACAGTATTATCCACACTTCTATGTCTAGGTCTTCCAAGTGGTCTCTTCTTGCCTTCAGATTTTTCAGCTAAAATTTTGGGTTCATGCTGTACAGCATGATCTCATCCTAGATTTGATTACTCTAATACTAATTGGTGAAGAGTGCAAATTATAAAGGTTTTCATCATGCAGTTTTTAACAGCTCTTTGTCATTCCTGTTGCTTAGGAGGAAATGTTTTGCACACCACTCCCCTTTTAAGCACAGCAGTCTCTTTTTGCACTCATGCAAAACAACACATAAACTATTTAAGCTCTAAGTTTTACATGCTGAGATAGAAGATAAAGACAAGATTCTGAACTGACTTGTAGCAGGTATTCCCCACATATAAAGTCTGCATGTATGACATTCAGTTAACACTTTTCCAAACCAGAATTGAGTTTTACATATACTGTATATATGTATGTACAGTGACAGTATATGACTTTTGTTTTTAACTTTAGCTTGCAGTGATTGCTATGGTTAGAGTGCACAAGAGTGGTTGTAATGGGGTTGTTCACCAGTTGTGTGAACAGGCTTCACCTTGTTTACATGTTCAGTTTCCATTTGTGGGGGATTACTTGCAGTTGGAAAGGTATTTGTTTGTTTAGATAGCATTACAGTAAGAAATGATGGTACTATACTGAGATATCAACAGGTTAGGCAGTGTGTAAGAAGAAAGCTCACTAAAATATTGAAGGTAACAGTGAAAGCTGCTGGAGAAAGCTAAGATGGCCTGTTACTGGAATTCATGTGCTGTGTGTGGTAGAGAAGTAAAACTACTCACAGATAATAATTGAGATTGTGATTTTGATAAAGAGTTTATGACAAGGGTATAGGGGATGAAGACTGCCTCTGTGGTCTAGTGGTCAGAGTTCTTGGCTACAGATCCGGAGGTCCCAGGTTCGATTCCTGGTGCTATCAGATTTTCTGAGAAGTGATGGGTGTGGAACGGGCTCCACTCAGCCTTGTGAGGATAATTAATGAGCTGTTTCAAGGAAATAATGGCTTCGGTCTAGAAAACCGAAAAATTAACAGCCGTGGGGATTCATTGTGCTGTCCATGCAACACTCTCTGCTAAAGTTGGCACTCACTTTGCCAACAAGTGGCGGTTGCTCAGTCAGTATAATTTGATTGTGGGCTCAAGCCACAGAGTTTATAGGGGATGAAAACGAAAGTAACAGCCTGCCATTAACTAAAGAAGTTCCAAGACCCATGACTAAAATAGACAGCTTCCAGCTAGTACAGTAATTTTCCAGCTGATCTGTATAATTCTTAAAAATGTTTGTAATGCATGGGTTGTTATGTTTCATCATATTCAGTATTGTTATTGCAAATTTAGTATGATGTGGAATTAGCATTCAAAGCAGTATGCCAATGTTTATGTCAGTTCTTTCCTTGGTACTGTAAGCCGTATTCAGTATAATTATTTTGAGCATAAGATAAAGCTGTCAATATCATTTTTTACTGCCTCTCAGTGCAAACAGAAATCACTGTTCTGTTTTTGCAGAGCCGATCAAGGAAGGCGGACACTTCTGAATCTGATGATTCAGAAGAAGAGGAGCGAGTAAAGATTGTAAAGAAGAAGCGTCGTGCTTCCAGTTCAGAGGAAGATACAAAAGCCAAGAAGAAAAAGAAGAAGAAACAAAAGGAATCATCAAGTGACTCTGAAGTGGTATGCATTGAAAGGATTTGACTCATGTGTGAACTGCCTTCTTTCTACATTTATCAAGGTTTTCATAGATCTGTTGACTACATAGTTTTTTGGAATTTATTTCATAATTCATCTTCATTTCCAAGATTGTAGTGTACTTTATCCATCTGCCTTGAACTAAGTTTTTGTCTTGAGCAAAGAATGTCACTAGTGAAAATTTTGGGCATATCAGACTTTAAAATGAAGGAAATTTGGCACTGAGTTAATAGGAATGGGTCCATGGAAATTGAATTGTGTTTAACTTTATTCATTCTGGTCCATCCCATGAGTTACTTATTATGAAATGCATGTTACAACACTGTGCATTTGGACTCAGTATATATTTATGTAGAGCCTTTACATGTTTCAGGGATGCGCGGTAGCGTATGTGGTTGAGGCACTATGCTATAAGCCGGAAGGTCGCGGGTTCAAGTCCCGATGAGGTCATTGGATTTTTTTTTTCAATTGACCTAATCCTTCCAGCCACACTATGGCCCTGGGGTTGACTGAGCCTCTAAGAGAAATGAGTACCAGGAATATTATTGGAATATTCTTTGGGGTAAAGGTCGGCCGGTGCGTGGGGCTGACAACCTTGCCGCCATCTATGAGCTGATTGTCTAGAGAATCATTGTCTTATGGCATTTTGAGTTGTTCTTTGCATTTTTTTGGTGTGGGTCCGTTTTTAGTTCCATAATATGGTTATTTTTAATGAAAGACACATCATAAGACACAGTATATACACAATTAAAACGTAAGAAGAACGACTCCCATAGCGGATGAATGGCATTACACACGAGTTAGATATACGACATATAAGATGATAGATCTTAACAAGTTTTAATATATAAATTTTATTATTGAACAACAACGAACACACATTTTATATAATTTTATAAATGAACACTTGATGGCAGGCAGTGCAATGGTTTAACGTGATTAATACACCTGAGGATGGCAGAATGATGCCAAAACATATAGTGTGAAGTGACAAGTGAAATTGTATGCACTAAAAGATGGTTAATATATACACATTATGGATTTAATGAAAGAGCTTACATTTTCGTTTAGATCTTGTATGTATATTATGACCATAGTCTTTCCTTTATCCTCTTAATAGTATGCATCCCGTTGTGTGTCATATATAGGATGTATTTGTATAATGGGGGCAGTCTATACAGTAATATTCGTGAAAAACAAAATAGACACTATTGTATCAACATTTGTTTAATTTTGCTGTTGACGCTACATGTTTCGACCCTTATATTTGGCCATCATCAGGCGTACAATGATACTAGTCTTAGTTCTTGAATTGCATCTAATTTCAGTATGCATCCATATTGTGTTCTTGCAAGTTTTAAAAGCATAAATTGAATTTTCAGTTAAAACATAAATACTAAGTAGTAAAATTTGGAATTAGAAATTTAAACTTAAAAGTTAGCATTAAAATTGTACATAAATGAGATATTTTGTGATAAATCTCTTTAAAACTTTGGGCCCCTACGTGTTGATATACTTATCTGGTGGCAGAAGCAATTGTAGTGTGGGGCACCTGTGAATCGGGATTTTCTCTCATAAATTGGATCATGAGGTTTTGACCTTGCTATCATCTTGTGGAGCCTACGCTTGTTATTCTGTGTATCACCCAACAGATTGTTTACTTGGAGGGTGAGTACGAGGGTGAGTCAAATGAAAACCTAATTTGTAATAAAAAATGGAAATTTTGCACCATTATCCTGTAAGTTGGTAAGCGTGCTACAAACAGCGTACAGAATGTCCTGTAGGTTGCAGCATAGTGCAGATGCACGAACACCATCACAGCACCAGTATAAGATGGTTGCCCCACTTGAGACTTACACCAGGGAAGAACAACGTTCTGTTATTCGGTTTTTGTGTAGTGAAGGTGTGAAACCTATTGAAATTTATCGAAGAATGAAGTTTCAGTATGGTGATGCATGTTTGTCACAGCAGCAAGTGTACGAGTGGAGTAGGAAGTTTGCAAATGGTGTGACTTCAGTGGAAGATGCTCCTCGTCCGGGTCACGCACATCAAGTTGTGACTCCAGAGAACACTGCAGCAGTTGAAGCCATAGTGAGGGAAAACCGCCGAGTGACATTGAATGAAATTGCAGCAAGTTTAAACATTAGTCATGGTTCAGCACACCACATTGTGCACGATGTGCTCCAGTTTCACAAAGTGTCTGCAAGATGGGTGCCACGGCAGCTGACTCCTGAATTGAAAGACCGACGTATTGATGCTTGTGAAGAACTTCTGCAGCACTTTGAACGAGAAGGTGATGACTTCCTTGCAAGAATCGTTACTGGGGACGAAACCTGGGTTCACTTCCACCAACCAGAAACGAAAAGAGCGAGCAAGGAATGGTGCCATTCCTCATCTACAAAACTGAAGAAGTTTCGAACACAACCATCAGCAGGGAAGGTTATGCTGACTCTCTTTTGGGATGAAAAAGGGGTCATCTTGGAGCGCAACACGCCTAGAGGGACCACTGTCACCAGTGCATCATACTCGGATCTCCTAAAAAATCATCTTTGGCCTCCAATCAAATCAAAGCGACGTGGATTGCTGTCCACAGGTATCCTTTTGCAACATGACAATGCAAGGCCCCATACTGTCCGTACAACAGTTGCGACAATCAGTGACCTGCATTTTGAGTGTTTTTCTCATCCCACATACTGACCAGACCTTGCCCCAAGTGATTTCCGTATGTTTGGACCACTCAAAGAAGCAATGGGAGGAAAGACGTTCCGTTGTGATGAAGAGGTATGCCACACAGTGCATGAGTGTTTACACAGACTACCAAAAGTAGTTTTTTCTAAAGGAATTCATGCACTTTGTAAGTGCTGGAGGACTTGCGTTGAGCGTGGGGGAGATTATGTTGAAAAGTGATGCAGCTTTGTACCACTTGTGCACAATAAATAATACTCAAAAAAAATATTTAAGGTTTTCATTTGACTCTCCTACGTATACCAGGTTTTTATGATGTTACATGTACAGGTCACTCCCTGTGATGATCATCAGAGGGATAATGTTCTGTTTGTTGGAATATAATATTTTATTTCATTGTTTATTATTATTTTTGTTGCTTGTCATGTGTGCTTTATGGCTTGTACCTTTTATAGTCATTTTTTGCATATGTAGGTATAACATTTTTGTGTTGACACATTCGATTGAACCATATGTGAGCATTGGTTCTTAGTGGTTTCCTTTTCCTGTTGATATACAAGTATTGGTACACCAGTGACGCTGGAAGGGCTTCAATGTGTTTGTACAGTACTGTTTCAGACTGCTGAATATATAAGCTGGATAAGAGCCACCTTCTACACCAGACACAGTAGTTTACAGTGTGTATTTCCAGTTAATGATTATGTCTTTCTTTTTTAATCACTGCAGTATATGTCGGAGGCAGGTTCTGTTTGCAAGCCTGTGTTTGTGCTTACAGGACAGTGATGCTGAAGTTGAAGGCAGGAAGAAAAAGAAAGATAAGAAACATAAGAAACACAAGAAACACAAGAAACATAAGAAACATAAAAAACGCAAAATTGAAGAGAGTGAGGTAAGTTGAGTGTACAGTGAAACAAGTTTGTTTGGGGCTCAGTGGTTTTGAACACAGCTGAGGAAATTCTCAGATGACTTTTTTGACACCATTTATTTGCTTCGGGTGACTGAAATTGAGCACTGAATGAGAACACGCCTTTAATCAAGTAACATTAAATGGGGGTTTCACCAAGAAATAAATGGTTATGTTATGCAAACAATTTAATTTTTTGTGGCATATTGATAATCATTTTTAGAAACTCTTAAGATTACTGTTCACGTAATATCTTGGTATTAAAACAAAACTGTACAAGGCTGCATTTATGAATCCTCAGTTAACACGTAAGGTATTAAGTTTATCGAATGTGAATTTAGCTAACTTGTCATTCTTGAGGAATGTAGGAGTGAAACCTCCACATACAGTAATAATGCAGAGAAGGGTGAATATTGCATTTTGTTTATAGCTGTTAAGGTTAGAGTTGCTCAGTAGCTCTTACATTTGTTAGGTTTTGTCAGATTTGTTTGTTCCTCCTTCTACAGGACTCTGAAGCAAGTGAAGCAGAAAACACTGAGGAATTGGAGAGGAGGTTACGGGAGCGGGCTCTCAAGTCAATGAAACGCAGTGAGAGAGGGGGCAGTGAAAGTAGCAAATGATGATGTCGCACAGCGCATGGATGCAGATTACAAGACAGTGTGTACTCTGACAGTACAGTGAATTTATCACAACTGTTCAGAAACATTCCCCAAATCTTTCTTATGTATCCTCAGAGATGTTGGCTTTTATTAAGGATTTTCTATTAGATCATGAAAAGTACTGCAAATAAAGCTTTGATTAAACTATTGTACGAAACTAGTGGAAAGTGAATCAGAAGTGAACAGCATGTAGGAACATTACCAGAAAATGAATTACATCTTCATATTGTTGTCTAGAGAGTGGTACCAATCTCTTGAAACTGCATTAGTTTCTGTCGTGTCCATGTAGTTCGTGCAGCAGTCTCAGCGGCATCATTATTGCATCATTGACATATGTGTATGTAGCATACTTGTTGGGTGCCACATTACTATTGCCATTACATATTACACTTCAAAATGAGAATTGAAGATTCAGGTTGCATTTTGTAGTTGAATTGCCATACATTAACATATCCTAGTTTATGTTTCACATTGTCCAAATATAAAGCTTTAACATGGAGATGCCCTTTTGTTTTATCCACAGAGATAACTGTAAAGGAAGATGAAATCAAGTATTTGGGAAATATAACTTCCTTGTGCCCATAAGGGTAACAATACAGAAACAGATAAAATCAGGTAGTTACTATAGGATTCTGACGATGGTGTATACCACACTGATATGTTGGGATTTTGGACTTTATCCATCGTCCTGGTTTGTTATCTTGAAAACCAGGACGATGGATAAAGTCCAAAATCCCAACATATCAGTGAGATAAAATCAGGTGTTTGGAAGAAGCCATTTCTTTTGCCTACAATGGTGACAGTAAAGGAATAGATGAACTCAAGTATTTGGGACTTCACCTCCATCGAAGGGTGACAATAGAGTAACAAATGAAAGCACATACTTGGGGCAAAAACTATGGAATGTTGATTTTATGCTGTATGAATACTATTATACTTCAAGTCATTGGTGTAAGTTATCATTTACCAAAGTGCAAGACATACTAGAATTTTTTTAACGTTTTCCTGAATAAGGAGAGTTTGTTCTTAAAGGGGCACCATTGTAGGTTTGTGTGGGCACATTTATGGCTCCATGTTACGAGGTCTAAAACTGTTGACTACCATCTGAGGAAAACCCTGATAGGATGAAAGTGACTGAGAAGGAATGAAGTTTCACCAATGTAAAGGCCTACATACAGTAACAAATTAATGAGACCTTTTTTTTAAATGTGGCGGTGATAATATGATGATTGCAAATCAATCTCCAAATGTTATTTCAGTGTGTCACACCATCATCTATAAATATATATAGTTTGAAGTCACTTTTCCCCCATATTTGGGGAAACTGCATTTCAGAGTATTCAGATTGTTTTTAAAATAATTTCAAAACCTTTTGTTACGTTTTTGAAGCGAAATAATACCTTCTTTGTGTACAAGGAAATGCTTCCTTTGGAGAGTCAGTATACTAGAGTTTTCTTGGAGCAACACTTCAATGAAAATCATTTTGAGTTGTATGTTCACAATTTCAGGCTTATGTGAGCTACATTGACAATTTATTGAGCATAATTATGCCACACTAAAGAAGAAGGCCATTGTTAGTGTAATACAAAGTCAAGGTCTGATTTGGAACTGCATAACATAATTGTTTTACATCATTGCTCATCCTAAGAGATGGGACAATAAAAGTGTGCTGAGTAATGTGGCGAATTGCAAGTGTGTTATATTTATATTCTTAACATTAATTCATTCGTTTATTGTTTGAATATTTGCAAAACAGGAGTGAAATTATGAAGTAATTATAATAAAGTGTTATTCCTGATGTTTGACTTCTTTAAAAATGTGGCGGCCGAGTTTAGTATTGTGCATTTATTTCTAATTATTTGTTAGAACAGCGGGATTTTTATTGTATTTTTTTGCTTTCTGTAGTGTGTAAATAAGCTGGCTCCATTTAATTCAATNGTTTGGAAGAAGCTATTTCTTTTGCCTACAATGGTGACAGTAAAGGAATAGATGAACTC